GTGCAGAAGATTGTGTGTGTGTGTGTGTGTGTGTGTGTGTGTGTGTGTGTGTGTGTGTGTGTGTGTGTGTGTGTGTGTGTGTGTGTGTGTGTGTGTGTGTGTGTGTGTGTGTGTGTGTGTGTGTGTGTGTGTGTGTGTGTGTGTGTGTGTGTGTGTGTGTGTGTCTTTTTGGTGTATAGCCTGTCATTACTGTGCTGCAGGGAGGAGTCTCCCCTTTTCCTGCACCAGCAAAGGATGCAGCTGCAACACACACGCGCACACACACACACACACACACACACACACACACACACACACACACACACACACACACACACACACACACACACACACACACACACACACACACACACACACACACACACTCAATCACACAGAATCTGAATCTCCTGCACATCACAATGATTCATAAAACATGTTAACCTAGTCTTAGTCTTATTCATGGATAAAACTATTTCAGATTTTTCCTGCAGATTTTTCTTCTTAGCTTCTCTGGGTGACTGGTTTTTGGTTTTATAAAAAAAAAAAAAAAATCTGAAGATGACTTTGGATTCTGGTAAATTATGATTAACTTGTAAAAGTTTCTGACATTTACCAGGTTGAATGTGAATCGATTCACCATTTAAAAAAAACAATCAGCTGTTTATTGGCTAATGACATGAATCTTCATCTGCAGCTCACGTTTTTATTTCACTCTGCGGACATGAAGAGTGAGTAAACTGAATCTCTCAACAATAACAACTCACTCTTTGTTTTCTCTTCCTCTTCCAGCCGTCTCCCTCCCTTCCTTCTCCTCCTCCCCCCCCCCCCCCAGCAGTGTGTTCAGATGACAGAGCTCTGTGGATGTTAATGAGTGGGCAGAAAACATTTTTGTGTCTCGGATGCTCGGCCTCCACATTCCTGCTCCGAGCCCGACTGTTTGTTCATCACGACAACGAGCAGAGAAGGCACGGAGGGACTCTTTTTCTCTCTCTGCACGTCTACAAAGCGAACAGCAGCAACAGAAACTTTATTCAATTCTAAGAAAACACACAGACGAGCTGTTTGTGGAGAAGACATCAGTCACCCGGTGTGGTTGTGCTGATTAGTACGTCGCTTCATTTCATTTCTATTGGCTGGTAGTTGACATAGATCGGGCATACTCTTAACGATTGTATAATTAAGTTTAATATCATCTCACACTGTACAGCCTGATTGATAAACACGACCTGAGTGTGTGTAGCTGTATGACCAGCCGGGAGCAGCTGATCGGGCCCTCATGACCTCCTGTACACTGATCGACAAACGACTCACCGTCAGGCTGAAATTCGGAGCGACTTCATAAACAGCTGTGTGAGTCAAAAATCGTGTCAGACGAGAGAGAAAGATAGAAAGACCAGGATTGCTGGCGACAGAAATGTTTCTGTTGATTCTTTAGAGGTCAAAGGTCACACATTATCAACATCAGTCTGACTAACCTTTTGACCTTGATGAAATCACATCCTGTTTCTTAAGAGAGGGAGAGTGTTGTTATTAACACAGGAAGCCCCACGCCTGTTAAATGGTGTGTGTGTGTGTGTGTGTGTGGACTTGAAGATTTCAACCTTTCCTATGTATTTACTGTGGCTGATTAAATTAACCCTTTATAGCCTCTTCTTATTGATGCAGTATTAGACAAGTAAAGCTTGTGATAGCTGCCGTTTCAAGGCGCCATATTTACGCCCCTGCCCTGTGAAGTTTTGCCAATCTGAATGTGGCAGAGTCTTAATAGGGGGGGACGATGTGTTCTCTCCCCCCCCCCCCCAACGGTACTGTCTTTGGAGACAGAACAGTGACGTTACAGAGGCGAGGACGGGATCAGAGGAGCCAGCAGCGGAGCGGAGCGGAGCGCTGTGCGTGTGATTGTGTGTGTGTGTGGAGCACCCACTGTGCCGTGCTTCTGCAACGCTGCAAACGCTATTTCAATTCACAGACTGGGACATGAACATACGCCGTTGCAGAATCAATTTAAATGTTCAAAGACGTGATGACGACTGAGCTTACTTACGGTACTTTTGCAACAGAAATCAGTCTGAAAGGGTCGATTGTTTCGAGATCACATCACTCTTAGTGAGGATGTAGCTGGTTCAGTGCTGAACTCAGAGGAGCTTCGTTCTTCTCTTAAACATGACATATTTCTTCTTCAGTCTGCTTCAGTAACTGTCTGTAATCACGCCGTTGTTCAGTCAACTCTGCCTTCTTTGTTTGCAGCTGCACTTGGGGTTAAAGTCAGATCTCCTTCATGTCCGTCTCTTATCAGCAGCTGACGATCTCTCTGAGAAAAAGACGAGCCGTCTCTCTGCCGCTCCACCTGCTTATCTCAAACTGCAAGTTAGAACAAGCGACCTGGAGGGAATTTGTCCTGAAACTCTCACACTAACTCAGATCATAACTCTGAAACATGTCGGAGATTTACAGACGAGTTACAGAAGAACGGCCCGAGGTCAGACGAGCTGGTTGGTTACTGGTTTGAATCCAGGACAGACTGCGAGACCTGACATGTATTGTGACCTCTTTAGTTGAAATGGACTCAGAGTTGTCTCATTGTAATGTTGTTACAGCCTCTGTGTGTGTGTGTGTGTGTGTGTGTGTGTGGGGGGGGGGGTTAAATGACCTCAGGCCTGAATCATCACACGACATCACGTGTCGTAACGTTTAAATGTGAGCTGACAGAAGTGTGTCTGAGAGGACGACGTGCCCTGGAAACATCTCCTCTGCTGTCAGCGTACAGATATATAACATATATATTGCATTTATTTCTCCTGCAGGTCACTGTGAGGTCATAAACTGTTTATGAAGTCTCCTGCATGGTAATGAAATGATGATACTGAACATGCGCTCTGTTACTAGCGTTGTCACACTACCAGATTTTTAAACTTTGACATGCTTCTTGTGAAAATCAAAATGTCATTGATACCTGTTTGTTACCACGGCAACAAAAATAAACATCCTAGACACCCAATATCGGGTTATTTAAATGATTAGTGGACGGATTCAGAGGGTTTTGTGCATCCAAAAAGGAGGAATTCTTCTGACCATTGTTTAGGTCACATGGCAACTTGAGCTCATGATGTGTGTGTGTGTGTGTGTGTGTGTGTGTGTGTGTGTGTGTGTGTGTGTGCGCACGCTCCCCTTTTGCTCTGCAGTGTTGTTGTACTTGAAATCGGTCTTGTTCTCGGGACCGTACTCAAGATCACTTTTTCGAGGTCTCCGTGTCGTCTTGGAAGCGAAAGCAATTTTACTCGGTCTTGTCTCGGGTCTAAGACTTGGCGGACTCCGGATTTTAAATCAAGACCGGTCGAGACCACCACTAAAAGGCTGTTTGTCTAAGTCATTACTGTGATATGAGGAAAACGCCTCTTTCTAAAAGAACAAATAACTTCAATTCATTTGTAGTTTGACTTTTATCTCCTGGTTACGGTCGCAGCCTTCCAGGTGTTACAGTGAGTGACGCGCCCCCTGCCCTGCACACATGATGATGATTCTCAGTGATATTTATGGTCTTGGTCTAGTCTCAGTCTCGTCCTACCTTGGTCTTTGTCTTGACTTAGTCTTGATACCTAAATGTCTTGGTCTTGAGCACTCTGGTCTCTGGTATGTCTGGTCTTTACTACTTCTAGTTTGGCACCCTACCACGGGGGGGGGGGGGGGAACACAGCGCACACCTCATCCCGCTCTGAATGTCCCCTCTAACTTGCAGCTCCTCGTTAAAAATATGATTTAGTTTGTCATGTACATTTCTGTATTTTTATTTTGTTGTTGAAGTTTCAGTCCTTTTGGTTCTATTGATCATTCAAATAACAGAGAGTGTTCTAAAACATGTGGTGTCAAAGAGAAGTCTTCCTCTGAACCAGCGATGTGTTCACAGTCATGTGTTCGAGTCAGACAGTCTGAGGATGAAGCGGACTGACTCTTTGTGTCGATGATTAAACACTGTACTTCCTGTTACTCAGCGTCCCATGATGCAACGCTACGTGTGTTGCTGATGCTCACATGCAGCTGAGATTGAAAGTCTCTCTGTTTAGCTCACAGTTTGTGAAGTCGAAACTCTTTTTGGTGTTTGATGTAACGTTCAAGTGCTGGCAAACGGCTTCAGGAAAAAACGAACGCTCATCCTCATCTCTATAAGATCTTAACTGAATAATTCAAATTCCAAGTCAGTGTTGCAGAATGTGATGTTTAAGCATTTAAATCATAATCATTTGTGCAAAAGCAAGAAAGCAACAGTCACATTGCAGCATTTTTTAACTCATGAATTTCATGCAGCAGTTTCAGTCTTTGTGCTAAGCTAACCACAAACGTTCTCACCTAATGTTTCTGCACAAACAACACCTCTATACCACGCTTGTTCACCTCTTACTTAGACTCAAACTGTGAAAGATGTGAATCAGCGGTGTTTAAAAGCTGATGTTTGTCGTTACTCTGCAGTCCGCTCCGTGTCCTCATGAGGAAGGAAATCTCTTGAAACTGTTTTCGTCCGACAGATCTGCTCTGTAGATCTGCAGGATGTGACTCCAGAGTACAGCTGGTTAAAGGTGGACTCCTGACATATTCATTTATCACACTCTCTCTGATTTTAAAAAGTATTATGTCCAGAATTTAAAACACTGGGAAACAAAGGCACGTCAGGACGTTTTCACGCCTGCAGCGCTCAAAAGGAAATACGCCCTCGTCTGTTGACTGAAGTGTTTTTAAGAGTTGAGCCTCTCTGGAACAGTCGGCATTGTTCGGACTGTTTTCTGCCTGATTTGGCTGCTGATGCTGTTGTTCCTGAGTTGCAGCAGGAAGTGATGTCATTGACTTAAACCTTGAGTGGCTCACCTTTCCTCCAGTAAAAAAAAAAAATCTCCACAAGTCTCAGAATAAAAACTTCTGTTTGTGATTCACTAAAAAGTTTGATCTCAATAACAGTTTGAAAACACTTATTAAAGGTTTTTAAAATCCATGTGTTTTATTCTTTCTTCGTCTTTGTTTCTCTGCAGATTTATCAAAAAACAGACTGACGGACGTCCCCTCTGAGGTCACACACCTGGTTGCCTTGGAAACACTAAACCTGTATCACAACTGCATCAGGACCATCCCAGACAGCCTGATCGGCCTGCAGTCACTCACGTCGTTAAACCTCAGGTACACACACACACACACACACTCCAAAGCAATCAATAAGTATGAATCCAGTTTGGTGGATTTTTGGCGCCCATGATCAAACCTGAGACACGACTCGGGTTAGACGACTTTCTGCACGCTCTAAAACCTCTGAACTTGAGACAACGATGACACGGATAAAGATACAGCCTAACCTTATGTCACAATCTGAACTGAATAATCTTCAGTTTAAGGAGCATGTTCATGAAACATGTCGCCTGTTTTATCCCAAATGTAAAAAAGAGTCAGAGATGATATCAAAGTCGATCTCAGATGTTTTTTAGAGTGTAGTTTGAACAGCTGTTTCATCAGATATCATCTGTCTCCTTTGTGTGTGAACAGCTGGAGAAACTCATCTTAAACACTTCCTGAAAGTTATTTTCAGAGCTGACTCAGACGGGAGTTTACACTCTGTGGTGAGAGACAGAGAGAGAGAGAACACTGTCTGAAATGTACAAATACGTTTGAAATGTTTCAGTGCCTAAACGTTGCCAGCGTACTTAATACTTAGTTCAATGCTACGATGTCAGTTTATTTGCCTTCTTATCAACGCGATGTCTAATCTGACGTCTTCACAGAATCAACAAATGAGTAAAAAAACACCAGAAGAGAGAATGAAGCGTCTTTGTCACATGCACAAGGAGCGCACCCACTGCAGGATACAATCTTCATCACCCCGCCTGTTTGCTTGGCGGTGAATTTTCCTGAATATTTCCTGCTTTAAAACGGAAAACTGTACTAGGGGGGCGGGGTGAAAAATATCGTCTGTTTGTGTTCACACATCGACCAGACTCCTGAAAGTTTCAGGATGTTTTTAGGAGTGTTGTGACTGTGCGGTAAGAGGGTAGAGACTCATTGTTGTGTTAATGCATAACACAAATTGTGAAAGAATACAGTCAGGAGCTTTTTTCCTACAAGATAAAATACAGACTTATGCTAAAGTTAAGCTGCTCAATCATCCCTTCTGGGCCTCCATACATGTGTGGTGGTGACTGCGTCTGCAGAGAGCCTGTTGTCCTCTGACTGGATTTTACTGTTTTAGTTTTGTTTTGGTTGACTCGGGACGTTTCTGGGCGGGGGAGCTGGTGTGTTTCCTCCAGTTAATGACAGCTAACTCCGAACACAGGTGATGTTCAAAGTAGATACAATTCAGCTATTGGACCCGATTCAAACCAGCGAATGATGCACGCAGACATAACGGCAAAGAAGTGAAAATAAAGGCAGATGGAGACTTGGCAGACTTATATTGCTCGACAAAGAGGAAAAAGTCACTTTACACAGACATGGGCATGAGGATACATCTTGTTAAACTAAACAAAAAATATAAGAGTGTGTGTCATGTGAACTTTATTTTTAAAGCGTCAAACGATAAGAAAACGTGATCTCCAGGCTGTATGTGTGTGTGTGTGTGTTTGCATGTCCACACTTTATTCTAGTTTGTGGTGAATTTATTGTGTATCGCAGCATGTAACACACACCCACACACACACACACACACACACACACACACTCACACACACACACACACACACAGAAAAAGGGGAATTGTTTATGAGGTTTATTTTATCCCGTGTGTGTTTGTGTTGTGGTAAAAATCAGGAAACACTGAAATCATGTCAGAGAACACTCATGTCGTGTTCACTGTCCACGTCTCATCATTTAATTTTAATGTTGGAGGAAGACTAAATGATTTATTTCCTCTGTAGAATCTCTCGTCTCTGACACTGACTCTGAAGCTGTCAATAAGAATTATTCTTCATAGTCAAAGTTTGTTCTGTGGGTCAAATGTTTATTTAAAAGTAAGATAGGGTTCAAGGTTAGAGCTGTTGCCTCACAGCGAGGAGGTTCCTGGTTTGAATCCCTGTCTGCCAGGAGCCTCTCTGTGTGGAGTTGCATGTTCTCCCTGTACATGTGTGGGTTCTCTCCGGGTACTCCGGCTTCCTCCCACAGTCCAAAAACATGCTCGTTAGGTTAACTGCTGACTCTAAATAGTCCGTAGGTGTGAATGTGAGTATGGCTGGTTGTCTGTCTCTTTAAGTCTGCCCTGTGATTGGCTGGTGAACAGTCCAGGGTGTAACCCCGCCTCTCCCCCAATGACTGCTGGGATTGGCTCCAGCCCCCGTGACAGGTAAAGCAGTAAAGATAATGCATGGGTGGATGGATGGATGTTTCTGCAGCAGTTGTCCCCTAATGTCTGACTTCTACATGTTCTGTTGTGTGTATAAATAAAGTAACATGATAATAATGACCTCCCTGTTTTCTGTTCTCCTCGTGGTTACGTGTTTCAGTCGTAACCAGCTCTGCGCTCTGCCCGCCTGTCTGTGCGGTTTACCTCTGCGAGTCCTCAACGCCTCCAACAACAAGCTGGTGAGTCTGCCGGAGAGCATCGGACAGCTGCACAGACTCATGGAGCTGGTAAGTCTAAAGTCACTGCGTTACGACCACCAGAGAGGCATTTGTTCTTTTTGTCTCTACATTTATATACTAGTGTCTAAAATGAGTTTTGGGGTAAATCATTTAACAAGCCGGGTGTTTACATGAGGGTCCGACCGATTTTGAATTTTGTGGCCGTTACTGATATTAGAGAGGGACAAAAATCTGATACCGATATATCGGCCGATATATTTCTTAGATCTATCCTCCATATGTAGAGACAGATAGATATAGATAAACACATTTATTTCTATGATCTCTCAAATGCAGTTATGAAACACTTGTGGAAAAGATTTATAATAAAGACAAGATGGTCCCTCAACTGGAAAGGAAATCAGCATGTACGTGAATCAATGCTTTAAACTCTGGAGGGTACTAATGCTTGTTGTAATCTACATAGCGCCCTCTGCTGGCGACGGCTAGAAAGAGAACTGCTAGTTTAATACAGTGAAACTATTTGACTGGTGAATAACTCTCGTAATATCGGCGCATATCAGAGTTAAGATTAGCCGATGTCGATGATCACTTGAAATACAAATATCGGCCGATATTATCGGCTGGTTGAATAATCGGTAGAGCTCAGGTTCACATCATAAACATTTCTGTGAACTATGATTCATGTGTAATGTAATGCTTTTACAAGTGTTTGCATGACAAACGTTTTGTTACAAACTTCACAGAAACATTCAGATTTTTAAAAAGAGACGAGAAGTATTGAAATCATGTTCTTACCTGCAGCGTTTGAAGAATTGTTCAATTGTTCTTTTACTGCAGTTAAAGTCACATTATTCCACTTTAAATACTGTTTAAAGGAAAGGTCTTTGTCTATAAAGTAAAAAATGAATGCTGAATATATATGAATAATCTGGAGCCCAAACTGTCTCATGTGTACATTCATTCCTGATACTGTACACCTTAAAGAGCATTATTCCACCTGTGTGTGTTATAGATCATTAATGTAAGATTTTCTGATTTTTTTGTGATCAGAACCTGATATTTTTTACAAGCCTTTTCCCTAAAAATAAGTTCTCTTTACCATTTACACATGATGTATAACATCAGATATATTTTCTGCAAAGACACTTTATTTAGCAAATAGATTCACAAAAGGCCTTAAAGCAAATAAACGGAAACCAGTCGATCAGACTCACAAGAAAACTTCAGGTTTTTTATTTCAGGCCGTCAGACTTCTTATCGCTCACCATCAGCAGCAGATCAGATTCATGAAATCAGCAAAAAAAAGCTGCAAATAATTCAGTAATCCAACACTCTGTGTGGGCGCTGACAGTGCAGCTCTCTGGGAGGCCAGGGACATTAAAGGAGAACAAATAAATATTTGTTTTTGAATCTCCAAACTCACATTTTATCATCATTAGAATCATATTTAATATGAATGTTGTTGTTTCATTCGTCTGCAGGACATCAGCTGTAACGAGATCACTGCTCTTCCTCGTCACATCGGCCGCCTGAAAGCTCTGAGAGAGCTGAACGTCCGCAGGAACCTCCTCTGTGTCCTGCCAGAAGGTCAGTTTGAGACAAAGTCTGTCTTCACATGAAGGTGGAATCAAGCCCGAATGACTCTTTTTTTATCTCTTTTGATTTCCTGAAACTACCTGCAGAGTCCTGCTCCTCAGTTTGATTTTTAACCACACTGACTGATCTTGATTTGCTCTGAAGCTGGCTGAGGTTTGGTTGAAAACGTTCAGTGTGTTTGTCTATGTTCTCTTTAGGGTTCAGATCAAACAGATGATCTGTGTCCTACAGAGGAAGTTTTTCCCTCCATGAAGCCAATAATGGAAACTTTTAATGCTTGTTATTATAGTGTGGTAAGCATCTGATTTACAATTCAACACAGGCATTAGACCATGCCTTCCAGAAACCAGATCAGAGAGTGTGTGTGTGTGTGTGTGTGTGTGTGTGTGTGTGTGTGTGTGTGTGTGTGTGTGTGTGTGTGTGTGTGTGTGTGTGTGTGTGTGTGTGTGTGTGTGTGTGTGTGTGTGTGTGTGTGTGTGTGTGTGTGTGTGTGTGTGTGTGTGTGTGTGTGTGTGTGTGTGTGTGTGTGTGTGTGTGTGTGTGAGACCACAGAGTCCTCTGCATGAACTGTCACACCCGTCTCCGTCATCAAAAATAAACTCAATCCTCTGTTTGACCGGAGATCGACCTCCAATCTCCAAAATAAGTCTCTCTGCGACACAGAGCAGTGACGGCCACAACGCTCTGCAGAGACTCTCCGTTATTATCTTCATTCACACAACTATACATCTCCCCGTCTGTCTGTCTGTGATACTGTAAAGCGGCAGACTTGCATTAGTGACTCAGTGCAATGAAAGCTTATCAGCGTCTCCTGAAAGTCTCGATGAGAAACGGTCAAACCAAACCTCATTGAAAAAAATGACCGTTTTGAGATATGTGCTTCTCCTCTTGCAGACAGCTGATAAATCCTGAATTCAGACATTTTACTAATCAGCATCATGATGCAGTTATCCAGCATCCTGTCAACCTGTTTATGCTAACTAAATCAAAGTAAAATCTGTTTGGTTTGGGTTTATAGCGCTGTAGTAAGACGGTTTCCTGCTGACTTTAGTGCGACTTGTTAGATACAGTTGGAGGTGGTGTCCATCAGAGAAATCCTGCTACTGCCTAGCATCCATTATGAGTGACGCTAAACACAAAGCATCTCTGATTCTGTTCTTAACACACCTGAAGAAGAACGACAGGGAGCAGAAAAAACTGATGAATATTCTTTTCGGTCATTTGGTCATTTTTTAGAAAACTAGCATGATTTTGAAAGTAGCATTCCCTCAGTGCTCCGTCTGCACCCCCTCCCCTCTGTGCTCCCTCAAAAGGCCACGCCCCTCACTTACATGCACGAGCGCCGTTGCTCCAGAAGCGGACCTCAGCTCATGCCTTGAGTGTGGGCTAGTGCATGCACGGGGTAGAGAGCGAGCAGGGAGACAGGGAGGCGTCTGATTGGTTCTTCAGATTGGTACCTCTTGGCAGACATTGGTCGAAGTCTTTACAGGTTTACAACTGCTACAGATGACGGATTTTCTTCTTTTTCAGAGCACATGAGTTATTAATGTCTGTCAGGACCTAAAGACGATTTCAACCAAAATCTTAAAAAGTGGATCTGGAGGAAATTACCAACCCTGCCTTTAAGTAGAGTCTCTTTGTTAGTGACCCGCACCTGAAATGGTGACCTCGTTATTCATTCAATCTTTGTTGTACACAGCTGCAATAAATAAAACATGTGAATATGTTTACATATTTACAGAAGGTCATTGCATTCACCAATGAAAAATCAAAATGTTTTGACCCGTTATCTCATAATTAAGAGATCTGTATCTCGGAGTTATGAGATCTTGAGCTGATCGGTCTCAGCAGCTCGATGTCACAGTCGCAGACATGTGGAACCTCGTCAGGTTCAGACAATAAAGACATAACACAAACAGACAGAACTTATCTGCTGCATGTTTATCACTTTTCATGGTATGTGTAGTTCATGTGGTCGTAGTGTGTAACTTGTTTTTCCATCTTTGTTCACGCATCAAGGTGTTATCGAGGTTTTGACATGATCAAAGTCATCAAAGATGTCCGACCATCCTCACAGTCAGAGGGGCATAACTGTTTCTTCCTGTTTATAAGAGGAGAGATGAATCGTGCTCATGTGCTGCTCTCAAGTGAACCAAGTTGACGTGTTTTTAACCGTCAGTCAACAAAGCAGATCTGTGACAGCGTTCTTCTTTTACCCTTTTTTTAAATAAGGTTTAAAACCTGAACGCAGCGCACATATGAAGGTATTTTCTTTGCAGATGTTCCATGCAGCAGATCCGTTCTGTCTGTTTGTGTTTATGTCTTTTATTATCTGAACCTGACACACTCCTGTCCCTCACATCATCACCGTGCCCTGGATTGATTGATCAGGTCTGATCGGTCTCAGCAGCTCGATGTCACAGTCACAGACATGTGGAGGCTCGTCTGCAGACTGGACGGCGGCCTGACGGCGTCGTTTCCCCTTCTCTGACGGAGACCACCACCACCGTTTACGAGTGTTTAAAGGTCACACGGCTCAGGGTGGCAGGACGAGAGTCGATCTCAGTCCTCTGACGCAGAAACAGAAGCACAAACAATACAAGAACAAACAACAGGAGGCTGGTTACTGTCTTCTCGTCTACATGTGGTTTATTTATGGATTCACACACCACTTCGTCTCCTTCAGGGAGGCTGCAGAAATGTAACTTTATTCCTCAATAATTTTCTGTCAACAAAACTTAAGAAGCAGCTCATTACCCGGCCTATCAGTAAATCAAATAATCCTGATATTACTATTTTTGTATCGTTCTCTCTCCTCCTGTAGGACTGACAGGGAGCGCTGAAACGTTTCAAAGAGTGCTGCTTGTCAAAGACCCGTGTTTCAGTCAAATGTCAAACACCATTTTTGAAGGTTCACTACGTCTCTCTTCTGGACTGTGTTCTAGTTCAGCTCAGTGTTCAGCGTTTCTTTTCACATCTTTTTTCATTCGTAATGAAAGTTCACATGTAGAGAAGGAGTGAGTCTGTGAACAATTACAAACCTCTTCTTGAAATAATCACAGTCACTGTATTGTTCTGAGTGCTGGGAAACATGTTGGCGGGTCCAACTATGTGAGCGTGTGCGCATTTGTGTGTGTGTGGTATGTGTTCACTATACAAAGCTATAATGAGAATAATTTGCCTTTATATCAATTCCATCTGTAGATTAACATTATGAAATAAAGAGCGGAGAACAACTACTGGAGAACAGAAAACGTAATGCAGCCGTTTGATTAGTTGCTCAGAGATGCAAGGGTCGTGTGCAGACAGTCTGTGGTCGTGCACCGATCACAGAGAATAAAAGTCACCATCCTGTCCCTCCCGCTCGTGGTGAATTCTCGTCAATATTTCCTGCTGCATTCTCACATCAGCTCTCGTGACTTTTATAGAGATTCTACTAAGGGGGGTGTCGGTTGAAAACTGTGGATAAAGTCAGAGTGAAAGATTCAGCTGTTTGTGTTCACACCTGCAGCTCACACTTGAGTTTTTTGCAAGTGTGAACAAGGCTTAACATGTCAACAAAAAGGCTCGAACAGCCTTTTCTTTCATGTGTCTTCTTTCATTTCATTTACACGTCTGCTGACTCTGTAAATGAGCTTCTCCACTGTGTGTCAAAGGGCTGAGTATATCTGACCTGAAGATGTTGAAGTCACTGACTGAAATGTTTCATATTTAACGTTTGTGTTTCAGACCTGGCAGATCTTCCTCTGGTGAAGTTTGACTTCTCCTGCAACAAGGTGTCCACCATCCCCGTGTGTTACAGGAAGATGAGACAGCTGCAGTGTCTGCAGTTAGAGAACAACCCTCTGCAGAGCCCACCTGCACAGGTACACACACACACACACACACACACACCATGTTCACCTCACACAGCGCCGCACGTTTCTTTGACTTATTTCACATCCTGTTAAGACTCCTCTGGTTACTTTCTCTGCATAAAATATACAAATAACAATGTGTTTACATTTCTGGAAGATGAAAATATACATCCACAATTACAAGGTCAACATGTTATCCATTCAAATCAGTCGTATCCAGGGGCTTGTCCAGAGGGGGACCACCATTGGCTTTTTGCTTTTAAATTAAAGGAATACTTCACCCATTTGCATTAAGCTTTGTGTCATTAGGAACCAGGTAGTATTTTTGAATGGTCGTGTATCCCGCCCTCATTTTCCCCTGAGACGGGAAAGTTAAGATAAACCATGAACTTCTTCTAAACCTTCACGTGAGGTTTTTAAAGTCTAGGCTGAAGCTGCAGAGACAAACTGAGCATGCGCAAGAAATCATGTGCAGATCTGAGGTCGCCATCCAGACACGACCACAGATACCAGATCAAAAAGACTAAACGAGAACATGAGCAGAATAACACACCGCTGTGTGTGACGCTGCTAAATGTGACTGTGCCCTTCAGACAACTCAATGTACCAAACTTTATGTTTTGTCTTCCAGATCTGCATAAAGGGAAAAGTTCACATCTTCAAGTATCTGAGCATCGAGGCGTGCCGCAGCGAGAAGATGCCCGACTCGCTCTACCTGCCCGTCATCGAGCGACTCAGCCTCCACAGACCCACCGCCGGCAGGTCGGTGTTTTTAACACACTTTAAGAAATGTACAGAATACATGCTGGAAGCTTGGGTTGTCACGTTTGTAGAGTTTTCAACTCTGATATGATTCAATATTGACACATTTTTCTGGCAGAGGACAGAGTCTCTGCAGACGCCATCACCTCCACTCATGTATGGAGGCTGATATGTGATGGCTGAGCGGCATTTCTTTTGTATAAGTCTGTATTTTGATGTTTTAGAAAGAAGCTACTGACTCCACCTTAAAGTCCAAGAAACGACCTCAGAAACTGAGACGTTGTTTTGACTCCTTGTTGTCCTGTTTCCCTTTTTAGACTAAAGTTTCTGAAAATCTGTCCTAAGAAAGGCCAGGCAACAAAATGAGAGAATACAAGGACATACACATTTTGATTTTAAATTCATACTTTATTAATTGTAAGAGTAAATGAAACGTTTAGAGCATGGACGGAGAAGAATAAAGAAAAAAGAGAATCCTTCGCTCAGCTCAGACAGATCTCTCAGAGGATAAAGGTCTGAAATGTCCGCCCACATGAAACACTCCCTAACACATGGGCAGGAAGAATAGTTCCTGGAGCACAAACACATCCTTTATCTTTTTCTGTCTGTTGTTTTACTCCAGTTTCCCGTCTCTTTGTCTCCACATTAGACTCTCTGCTTTGATGCTTTTACTCTTTTTTTCTTTCCCCTCCATCCTCCTGTTTTCTCTCATTTCTGTTATTTTTCTTTATTTGCCCTTTTTTTTTTTAGATCTCGTTTGACCCTTTACCGTCCTTTGCTTTGTCCTCCTTTCTTTTCCTCTCTGTCTGTTCTTCCTCTGTTAGTGTTCTCAGGATTCTCTAAACGTTCTCATATCTGCTCATTTGTCTCCCTCTTTTCTTTCTCCGTTTACGTTGAAAATGTCGCCGTGTGAGGAAGTAGTCGCCTCTCTCTCTCTCTCCTTCTCTCTCTGTCTCTGTCTCTCCTCTCTCTCTCCCTCCCTCTCTCCTCTCTCTCTCTCTCTCTCTCCCTCTCTCTCTCTCTCTTCTCTCTCTCTCTCCCTCTCCCTCTCTCTCTCTCTCTCTCTCTCTCTCTCCCTCCTTGTGTTGCCCCGGAGGAAGCTGAGAACAGATTGAAGCTATTTTTAATCGGTATTAAAACAAAGACCTTCAAAGAGAAACGAGTAAAGAGTGAAACACAGACAGGACACTTTAACTTTAAACATGATGAAGGGAGAGTTTCTCTGCAGACAAAAAATGTCCCAAATTCTATTAATATTTCTGCACATATGTCCCCTTTTTATTTATTCTTTGTACTGCAGTGTAAAGAGCAAAACTCACTTATAATGTGACCTCTTATTATCCTGTTTTGACCCCTCCAACCAGCTTGCACCGTCATGTTATAAATAATCTGACACCAACAACAAAATGTGAAATGTAAACATCAGTATCACTTTCAAAATATAAAGAACATTAAAAACCTCTTAATCTTAAAATGTGATGTTAGGAACAATAAAAACGTAGAAAATTAAATAAATTAAGCCATAAATTGGCTTAAGAAAATTGTGCTTTACTGATATGATGTTCACATTAGATGAATCAGTAACACTTTAAACTAAAGACATTATTTATTAATTATTAGCATACTTCTTAGTCATTGTTGTACACTTATTAGCACCTTATCCAGACCATAGTCTGTAGCTAACAGGTCATTAACTAACCTCATTTCTGCTCATTGATAGTAAGTTACAAAGATGCTAAAAATTGCTTGCTTAATAATGAAGAATAAAAAGCCAATGTGCTCATAGTTAGCATGCTAATAAGCAGCTAGCTAATGGTGAGTATTGTGTCCTCAATTTCACAGGGTGAACACAGACTGACAGAGAGGGAGGAGGAGTCTCTCTCTCTCTCTCTCTCTCTCTCTCTCTCTCTCTCTCTCTCTCTCTCTCTCCGGTTCACTTTCTCTGTAGCTCGCCCGCACGCACACAAACTCCTCCTGTGTGCGTGTGTCAGGTGTGTAACCTGTGTGTGTGTGTGTGTGCAGTGTGGAGGACATGGAGCTGCAGAAGAAGCAGGACAGCGACTCAGGAGTCGGCAGCGACAACGGAGACAAGAGACTGTCTGCTACTGAGGTACAGAGAGGCTGGGTGTGTGTGTGGGTGTGTGTGTGTGTGTGCAGGGAGTGGGGGGGGGTTATCATTTTCTTGTAACTATAACCTTTGTGTTCATGTGCGGTACTTTAGATCTGAGTACACTTTAATGTTTTACTGATAGTATTAAGTTAAAGGTCTGCAGAAAAGGTGTTTGTTTTTTTGGCCTTTTTACATTTTTGTTTAGAGACAGGACGGTGGATAGAGTCATAATCGGGGAGAGAGAGAGAGAGAGAGAGAGAGAGAGAGAATGACATGCAGGACAGGAGTCACAGGTCGGATTCGAACCTGGGCTGCCCGCTTGGTGGACTTCAGCCTCGCTACATGGGGCGTGCGCATTAACCACTAGGCTACCAGCACCCCCAGAGCTAGATTATTAGACGTTACTCTGTAGTGGTATTGTTTATTTGTAAATAATACTCAAATCTCTTTCAGATAATTGATAAATTATTGTTTATTGTCGTGTAAATAAATCTGCAGCAACTCCATAAAGCAACCAGTTAAGCATCATAAAACATTTCTTAATTATTACATATTTTCAAGTTGCACAGCTGTGAAGATTTGATGATTTCTTTCTTTATCATATTTAACTCAAGCTAAATATATTTTATTAAACACATTACGAATAAAACAAGCTGCAGAATATTTGATGATCTGCTTGCAGCCCTGCATTTTACCAATGATATTTGTATAACAATAATATACAGCTGAATAACTGACTTTACTGACAGCAAAGACAGAAGCTGACGTAGAGGATTATAGATTTAAAAGAAAAAGGACAGAAATGTAAATTATTTTAACTTATAACTGTATATTAGAACAGAAAGAAAAGCTTTATCTTTGTTCTGGAATATGTGTCAGGGTGCCTCCCTCCTCCTGTGACCCAGAATCAGAATCATTCCCTCTTTTCCATCGTGAGGTCGTCTGACAAAACCACCCGCTCTCTCTCTCTCTCTTCTCTGAATGTCGTTTAGTGCCGCGTACATCAGTCAGTGTTCTTCATGAACATGTTTCAAACTGCAGCTCACAGTTTACTGTTGGTACTGATGATGCATGTAAGAAAATATTGAAAAGAGCACATGGCGATGCTTTTAACCAACAGAGAAAAACAAAGTGATTTTTACTTTATATTTAATTTAACATCAACAAAGCAGCAAACCCGGCGAGTACCGATAGCCTAGCGGTAATGTCCAACGCCCCAATGTACAGAGGCTATAGTCCTCGTCGCAGCAGCTGTGGGTTCGATCCAGACCTCGGCCCTTTGCTGCGTGTCATCCCCCTCTCTCTCCTCCAAACATTTCCTGTCTCTCTTCAGCCGTCCTCTCCAGTGAAGGCAAAAAGGCCCAAAAAGAACTTAAAAATTCTCACATTAGAGCGGCTAGAATCACAGACGTTTAGTGTTGGTGTTGCCTTCATGAATGACTCAAAAACCTTTATTGATTATATTTGTTGTGTATTTGTTGTGTGTCTGTTGTGTATTTGTAGCCGTCAGATGAGGACAGTCTGAGTCTGAATGTGCCGATGAGCCACATCACAGAGGAGGAGGGGATCAGTAAAGACGACTCCAGTGAACACATCAGCTCGCTCACAGGTACACACACACACACACACACACACACACACACACACACACACACACACACACACACACACACACACACACATTAAAGGGGTAGTTCTGTACTTTTGAAGGGGCGTTGTATGAGGTTCTTGTCAATAGTAAGCACCTTAGCCACAGAAGATATCAGCCAATGTGGCCCCCTTTAAGGAGACCGCCTGAGTGCAGGTACAGAATGAATGCTATACAGCTGTGCAGTCTGGGACGTATGCTCCATGTAATTTATCTAATTTTAAGAAAAATAATTGCTTCCTTTCGGTCAGCTAGCCTTTGGTTTACCACCTCTTTGTGAGAACTTCCGCAGATGGAGACTAAACAGGTCTTAAAGAGAGAGGTGGGAAAGTTATATGCAAACTTGAGAACAGGAGAGATAAAAGGTTACCTGGTGGTGCAGGTGTGTAAACTGTGAGCTCCTGTCTGCATGAAATCAAAGAGCTGCCAGTGGGACTTTGTTTCTCAATAATGGGGCTGAGCTGACCGACATCTCATGTGGCTCATGTCCTAACTGCTGACAAGAACCTCATGCAACCCTGCTTACAAAATACCAAACTATCCCTTAAAGAAAGGTTTGAGGAGTGGTTGGTTTGCACGCCCCATGTGCAGAGCATGTAGTCCTCAAAGCCGGCAGACAGGGTTTGAATCCGACCTGTGGCTCCTTATATTATATTATATTTGTTGCCGTGGGATCAAATGGTATCGATACCGCATCACTTTATTTAAACTGGTATTCCATTAAATTTAAAAAGTCTGGTATGATGACAGCCTGTCTGTGTGTCTCGACTCGATTAGAGCAGAGCAGTGAGCTCCCCAGACTCTTCGTTTAAATAGACTTCAATCAGTGTGAATCAGGTCACAGCTGATGGAGGGACGCACTGAGCTCAGGATAAAGAGGCCGCCTGGTTATTTATTCTCATTATCCCTTAACAATGTAAAGTAAGAAGGGCGTGCTAACCTTTCTTTATCCAAAAGAAATGCATAAATATCCCAAGAGTTTTTAACGTTCTCATCATCCTGGAGTGAGTTTAGAGAAGTGGTTCCCATCCTTCATTTGTTGGAGCCCCCGCCTAATTGTTGAGGATTTGAAACTCTTGTGAATGTTCACCGCTGTATTGTGATTGGTCCTAAACTTTTTGTGGTGTCATAAATCCTGCAGGTAAATATTCATCTGCAGGTTTGTACAAAGAGGAAGTGATGTCAGATGTTTACTTTGTCATCATTACAGCCGACACAAACTCTGACTCTGTGCGTCTGATTGAGGAGAGTCCTACGGAGGCCCTGAGGGACCAATTCAGCTACAGAGAATCTTCTCTCAGCACGCGATTCGTCAACTACATCAAGGTAAGACTTCCTCTTCTCCTCCTCCCACTCCCACTCCTCCTCCTCTACTCTTCCTCCCCATCCCCCCTTACTTCCTCCTCTGTTTCCTCAGTGTTGTACTCCTCCCCTTCTCCCTTTTCATCCTCCTCTTTTACCTCCTCCTCTTCATCTGTCTCTATTTCCTTTTTTCTGCTTCTCCTCTTGCCCCTTCTCTTCTTCCTTCTCCTCTTCTTCCATACTCCTCCTCCTTCCCTTCCACTTTCTCCTTTTCCTCCCTCCTCCTCCAACTCTGTTTCCTCATCCTCCTTTCTCCTCTTTCTCTTCTCTGACTTCCTCCACCTTATTTTGTTTTCTTCTCTTCCTTCTCATCTTGCTTCTCCTCTTACGCGTCCACTTTCCTCTTTTCCTACTTCCTCTCCTCATGCTCTACTTTTCTCCCTTTTCCTCCTCCTCCTCCTCCTCCTCCTTGCCTTCGTTATACTCATTATACTTCTTCCCATTCTCCTACTTAGCCCCTACTCCTTCTTTTTCTCCCCTCCTCTGTCTCCTCTTCCTCCTATCCCGTCCTACTCCCCCTCAGTCTCCTCACCCTTGTCCTTCTCCTCTCCCTCCTCATCCTCCTTCTTTTCCTCTTTTCTTCTTCCCTCTCCTGCTTCTCCTCCTCAACTGTATCCTCTCCTCCTCTGCTTCCTCCTGCTCTTCCTTCTCCTCCCCTTCTTATCTTTTCCTCCTCTTCTTCCTCCTCCTCCGCCTCCTCTCTGTTTCAATCATTGATGTAATAAAAGCCTCTCTTCATGAATAATTCTCCTCTCTCTCACACACTGTGCTGTGTTAATGTCAGAGTGTTTTATTCCTCTGTAAGACACTCTGCTCTTCCTCCTCCTCCTCCTCTTCCTCCTCCTCCTCCTCGCTCTACTGGAGCCTAAACTGTCACTTTATCTCACTTTAGAGCAGTTTGATTCTGGTAAAAAGTAAAAAGTCTGGTAAAAGAGTTTCTGCAGGAGGATTTGTCCTGAGAGGCCGGGTGGTTATAAACTGTGACATCACAGAGAGGCTGTGAGTCACTGACAGACTCAGCTGCGACCAAATAAGGACTGAACATAAAACACAGAGAGCTCACACACTGTGCATGTGGATTTATTCACTGTTAAGCTGAAACCACTGAAACTCTGCACCTTTATTTACCATACCAAAGAGTTTTTCAACTTTTATCCTGGGAATTGTACCCCACAAAAGATCGACTGGGCATTATTAAAAAATGAAAACAAGTACAAAATACACAAGTACAGTTTTCATGATACCAGATTTTTCAACTTTATGATTCTAGTAAAGATGGAACAATAATCATACCTGTTTTGGAAAACATGGCAACAAAAGTAGAAGTCCTACACACCTTATATTGAGTCATATCTAGTTTTAAAGCATGCAATAATTGCTGACAAACTCCTGCACAATGTCTGAATTGCACAAATATGCTGACAAAGTTTCAGCGACAAAACATTGCCAAGGTGCAATTTAGACATTGTGCAGGACTTTTTCTGCCACTTTTGATAATTAAAAACAAGATATAAGATATGCTTTGTCCTCATTCCTCTCATACACATCTGTCCTATGAAACAGATGTACTTTTCTTCAAAGCTATTTAAAAGTATTTCATTTTAACTACTTTAATAACCTCTTCTGGTCTCTTTAACTCTAAATGGGAGTTTCAAAAATGGACATCATTGCCATCTTTATTTCTTAAAACCAGAAGTGACCATATTTGGACAAGAGGCTATCCCTCGTTCTTCTCCTCCCAGCTCCTCCCTCTTGTCCGATTATGGTCACTTCCTTAGACAAAACACTGAAAACATGAACACCCATCTCCTCAGAGCGTCTTCTTTTAATCCAACCTAACGCTGAGCATGGCATTGTTTTTAGTCCCTCTGTAGGTCCCAGTAGCCCCGCCCCCCTCCTTTTTGGGCTCTTTGACTCTGAATGGGACCATCATTAACTGACTGAACATCATGCTGCCTTGAAGAAGACTTAAAAATACAGATTGAGACCATAAAGATGTTACTGAGGGAAGAAATCAGGGAAGAAATAAAATAGAAGTAGAACTATTTTATCAAAGACGTCTATACAATCAAACAGCTTCATAAACATATCAAACAGAGCTTTGATCAGAGGGAGGTTATTCCAACTTATATTTTAATTTTTCCCAGTTAACCCCATCAAACCTGTTGTGTGTGTGTGTGTGTGTGTGTGTGTGTGTGTGTGTGTGTATGAGACCAGTAGACAGTGTGTCACAGCGTGCTCATTGTTTTGTTTGTGTACCGGAGGAAAGTAGTAACATCTCTGAATCTCGGCCAATGGCTGAGAGAATCTGAGGGTCATGGGACGGCTGCAGCTGCTGCTGATGCTTGTGTGTGTGTGTGTGTGTGTGTGTTAATATGTGTGTTAATGTGTGTTTGTGTGCAGGGTCGGACAGCAGCAGACTTTGACGAGCCGCTCAGGATAGAAGAAGATTCACACTGGACCACAGAACAAATGTGAGTTTATTCTGTTTCCTTCTCATGTTTCTTCTCTCTCTGCCTCATTTCTTTAAAATTTCTGATTGTGTCTTTTATTTTTTAATTTAAACATGAATTTTGGCCTTTCTTTACTTGACTCAGGCCACTGTGTTTGTAAGATATTAACTCATCGCTCGTGTCTTTGGGCTCCCAGGTCAAAGGTCAGAGGGGGCACAGAGCTCCACATCGACATGATCAACCAGCTGAAGGAGGCTGTGGAGCTGCTGCAGGACCCCAGCAGGTAACATCACCTGAGTCACTCAGACAATGTTCATGTTTACTATGCATCCCGTTTTAACGACGTTAGGAAATCCTTTAAAAGAGCCTGTGTCCACTGAGGCCTAACCAAAGCAGATTAGGGTTTTCAGCGCTCGGCATCATAAGTAAAAAAACGTCCTCAGCATCATCTGTTTTTTGTCGCTGGGCTCACAGCACTTGATAGTATTTCAAATTTTTGGACATTTCCGCGCTCGTCAATGTCACGTCCTCCTCGCTGACCAATCAAAACATCAAGACTTCTTGACATCAACTTTTGTCAACAACAATGGCGGAGGAGAAACTAATCCGGCTTGTCTTTTCTGCTGCTGATGCCAGGACATTTTGTTTTCTTGGTGATGTTCCCTTGAGTAAAACCAAATATAAAGCATGCAGAGCGATTTAAACAGAAATTACATCACTGCTGAGGTAAGTGGAACTTTTGTAGCCTAGCAACGGGAAACATCAGTGGAAAACGCTGTGAAATGTTTGTTGTTAAAAAAACATTCTGTTCTCAGCTCCTGACTTCACTGTGCATCTTTATTCAAAATCTGAAGAACTCATTCATTGTTTATCAATCAGCCAAATAACTAAATATATCTTTTGTTTATTGTGTGTGTCAGGGTTAACGACGATCTGTCTGGAGTTCAGCTCTATCCCGTGGAAATGGTCAACGTGGACGAGTCGCTGAAGTAAGACTTTGTGTTCACATGAACTTCCTTGTTGCTTGTTGTTACTTTTGCTTAACTGATTGCAGCTGGAACTTTAGAGGGGGTTCATTTGCTTTATTTGTCGTCGTTGTGCAATTTGTGCTCATTTCTGCATGTAGGATTATGAGTGTGTATGATTTTTTTTTGTCACTTTTGCTCTTCATCTTAAATTAATTTCTCTCTCTCTCTCTCTCTCTCTCTCTCTCTCTCTCTCTCTCTCTCTCTCTCTCTCTCTCTCTCTCTCTCTCTCTCTCTCTCTCTCTCCCTCTCCCTCTCCCCGTCTCCAGTGGGCAGGACAGTGACGATGGCATCACCACACCAAAGGTAAAGTGTGCACAAACATCAGGCTGTCATCAGCGTACAGGTTGATAGTTGTCACAGGTGTTAACAGCGATGTTTCATGATGATGCAATGAGTAGTTGACTAAATGACTAGAGGTTGACATCCTTGATAGTCAGCACAAGGATTACTAGTAGGTTGAACTAATTATTAATATTTTTAGGAAGCCACCGAAGCCCTTCCAGAAAGGGGGCGTGGTCAGACACAGCTCATTTACATTTAAAGGTACAGACACAGAAACAGCCTGTTCTGAGCAGGGCTGAAATAGAGGGGTTTATAGGCATGATCAAATACAGGATCAGAGTGGATTTATAACAAGAAACTTCACACACATGTTTTGAGGAGCTCTGAGACTTATTTATACTGGTTGAAGAGGGGGAGAATATGTCACCTTTAAAGAAGTCAAGTACATCTCACTATAGTTTCTGTCTATTCTCTGATTTATACATAGAGCCTGTTATTTAAGTAAAAGATAATCATTAAGGGTACGTAAGAAGCTAAACGTTTGATGCGTTCTAGCAGCAAACGGATGAAGGAGGCTATGAGTTCCAGAAGAAGAGACAGATGATTCTAGAGAAGGCTCGCTTTGAGGCCCAGCTTGCATGTCGGGAGTATGAATGGCATATGTCAATCAAGGTAAACCGGGCAGGAAGTAGGCTTTGTCCCGTCCCCACCTCAGGGTGTCATGTTTCACAGTAAACTGACTGCCTCATCACTCCTGTGTCTGTTTTCTGTGAGTGATTCAATTAACAATCCACGCTGAGCTTCACGTGTGTCGAGTCTCATCAGCCTGCAGGTTGTCTGTTGTCTCATCAGTCCACATGCTAAACTGATGAACTCTAAGCTGGTAAATTGACAGTCTGTCACGCATGTTAAAAAGTTGCTGTTCAGTTTTCGTCTCTACGTCTGCAAACAGCGAGATCTCTGTGCTTAAACAAGTATCACCATCCTGAATTTTTCTTGTTTTGTTGTCATTTATTTACTTGTCTAGTAGTTTTGTGTAGCCCCCAAATCCTAAAGCTTCTTGGAAAACTATTTATTGTAGGTCATAACTCATGTTGCACTCCTAAGTAGACTCAGAACACACATTCAGCAGGAATGGATTGCGCCCCATCTCATGGTCTAATGCACAAAGCATACAGTGCAAATGATTTTCAAGAGCAAAAAACACCCATGAAGCCATTCTGCTCGGTGCAGTTTTAATCTTGTTTTGCGATTGAATGTGCAATTACTGTTATCAATGAGTATCTCCTCTCTCTGATGCACTCATCCTCTTGGTGCTCAGTTCTGTCCTCATGTAGATGCTGAGCTGAGTAGGGGACTCTTCTTCCAGTTTATAGTGTAGTCGAGTCTTTACAAATGTGATACAAGTTTCAACGTTTACAAAAAAAGCGTCCTGCCTTTAACAAACCAGCCCGCTCCCTTACCTATCCCAAATATGACCCTCCACATGTGGACATGTGCCGGGTTGAGTTGCCAACAGACAGAGATTTAACCCCTGGTTATGTTGTTGATAGCAATGTCAAAGCAATATTTACAGACTTCATTTACACAGGATTTTTTGTTGAAGTCATACAGAGGTGGAATTGTTATCCTTACTTCTGGAAAGTTTGTGTGACATCTCTTAACACCGCGGCGAAGTTACCACCAACTCGCAGCACAGTATTATTTTTCACTCTTAACTGCGTGTGGCTGTTAGCACCGTCTTGAATAGGGCTGATTTTGTCCAATGACTGCACAATGGCTCATTTGAACACGTACAAACAAACGTCACACAGTGATGCTGTTTTCTCTGCAGGGCAATTTGGGTTGCGTTTAACTCTTTGCATGTGTTTGTTTTGTAGATTAGACTTTTTTTTTAGTGTCATTTGCACAGGGTTAGAGGGCGCAAAAGCTGCAAATTCTTTTTTTTTAATCAGGTGCATAGTCGTTACAGAGATCTGGACCACTTTCATTCTGTTCACTCAAAGTGATTCAGAGTCTCTTAAAGAGTGCTGAGTCTGACTCCGCTGGCGTCTGTTTAATAAGAGGAACGTTTTAAGACAGAGGAGGGAGAGTTAGACCAGACATCACTGATTTCATTACCGGAGTATTTTATGTGTCTGTGTACCTCTCTGTGAAATATGTGTATAAAACAGTTTGATTTGACAGAACAAAGAATAAACAACATCCATTTAATGCTAATTTTTTTTTTTATTAATCTGATGACTTTTGTTTCTTTTTCTCTTCAGAGAGATGACAGATCTCCACTCAGCGGACATCCATCCTACCACAGTCCTGTGTTTGGACTGAAGCCACGATCAGGTGAGTTAAATCTGGGCTAAAGAGGGGGACAGGTAGGGATACCTCGACGTGCACACCCACAGGTTGAGAAACAGTGCGACAGGTTGAGTTAACAGTGCGACTTGGAAGTGTCGTTGGTGTGCTGTACTTCATGTCTTGGTTGCTCACAGAAAAACACAATCTGTTGCAGTTAAGACCAAGAATGAGCCTAAATTTGTTCGCTCTACTTGTCAAAATAATGACACTGAATCTTGGGTTGTTCTAAAGTCTGGATTTTTAGCATCTTGTTTGAAGAAGAAGGATCTTATTAATAAAAGTGTCTTCCAAAAACTGCACAGTGTATTTATACTCGGCTTGTTAGTTCTGTAGTGTAGTTTAGGCAGCTAGAGAAAAGCGAAAAGGCACCGTTTATTTAATAATAAATGAAATGATTTCCGATAGGAGCACGCTTCCTGATCCGTCTGCCTGTCGGCTTTATTTGTAGAAAGCAAACTTTCGTCCCATGCTTTTTGTTTTGGTTTGTTTTAGAGCTAGCGACCATCCAGCCTTTGTTTGCTAACTGTTACCAGTGTGTGAAATGTTGCTAACTGCTGATCAAGCTAATGCAATGCTAACTGCACGTGAAGGTGATCTGTAATGTGAAATGCCACTAACCTTTATTTTGTTTTTTGCTGTTTTGTGTTGTGTGTCGTCTCTTTGTTTCCCCATTTTCACATTTCCCTCCTCCAATGTTTGTGTTTTATCATTTGTGTTTTTTTGCCGGCTCGATCTAATTTTAACATCCTGCATGAATGTCGATGTTAAAATCCTCTTTAATAATCTGCCTGCATGTGTGTCTTTTGCAATGATACCTGCCTCCCTTTGACCGTCCTGTTTTTACTCTGTACCGACCAATCCTCCCGGATCTCTATCCTGGTGATATTGGTGTTTTTCGGGGGTTTGTATATCCTGAATTAAACTTTGCCTTGCTGCACCCTCAATTCACCGTGGTGCCCCTCCTTCCTGCACTACATACCACGCCCACTTTCTGCGTCTCTGACCACACCCACCTCCTGGTTGTAGCCCCACCCTCGCTGCCCTCCTCGCCCCCTTCTTTCTGTCTAGCCTCCTCCCTCCTCTCACAGGCCTCGCTCCTCCGTAGAGATACAGCTCGTAGCCATGACGACGGAGGCTTGCACAGTGGCGGTAGGTTGTGTCTCTTTAAACTCACACGGATTCTGCCAAGTCAGAATGCACACCTGGACTCAGGTGTCTGCTGACTGCGTCTTTCAAACTCCTACACACAAAACTTGGCTCTTTGTTTGTTTTTGTTTGTTTTTATGTCTAACAGTTATTTTCTTTGAACGACAGTTTCAGCTGCCAGTTCAACAAAATATTTAGGAAATTGGGAATTTAACTAATTTGCTTTTTTGTTCAGAGTTTCAAGCTCATTTATTAAAACTTTTGTTATCTCTACTGTAGTTAATATGTAAATAAAGCCAGTAGACATTTAGCTTAGCATAGCAAGACTTGTGAGCAGGCAACAGGTAGCCAGGCTCTGCTACGAAAAACTGAAAATGAAAAGGAATAAGAAAGGTTGGGGAGCTTGTCTTTACGATCAGGCTCTGAAGAGGTCTGCATCATAGTTTATAAAAGTCTCTGTGTAAGGGATTAGCAAACATCTGAGTGCTGAAGCAATGGCTTAAACATCCAGTAAACACTCCACTAATGTGCAGAAAGAACATAATCATAGCTATTGATAGCTTATAAGGTCACTACTGTTGCTCACTTCCTTCTGATGTGAGCTGGCAGCACATTAAGTTTGTTTTCTATGATGTTTCTCTGCCTAAAATCCCATGTTTAGACTGTTTTAGATGGCTGCTGCTCTGAGTGTGTGTATTTGTTACCAGCTGTTATTGGTATGAATGTGACGAACGATTCCAGTTTTAAACCTTCTCATTGGGCACATTTAGGTTTATGAGGACTTTTTTTGATGCCACTACTTTCTAGTGCTATTCGAAGTATAAGACTTGTTTTTATAATTGAGCTTACTTTTAGATAAAGTTATTGAGTCGTGACGGTAAAGGTTAAGATGAGTGTCTATGACATGTTTTATCAGACGCAGGGTCCTCACTTGTATATAAAATCAAGAATGTGTGTGTGTGTGTGCATGTGGTAGCGGAAGACAGTCTTCAAAGAGGATCTTCTCGTACTAAGCTTTCATCTCAAGCTGCTCAAGAGTGTGTGGTAACTGTGGACAAACATGCGGTACGAGGTAGATCCTGTGTGTGTGTGTGTGTGTGTGTGCATGTGTGTGTGTGCGTGCTAACCTCAGTGTGTGATGAGAAGGACTGAGAACAGTTTAAATACAGGGTGTGTACAAAGTCTGAAATGATCCGATTTATACAGTGTAATACGTAAGCATTCACAAACTGAGAACAGATGAGAGAAGGAGAAGATAGGGACATGCAAGTTCAAAGAAGTTTGGCTGCAAGACGAAAAACACAGGGATTGGTTTGCAAAACATTTACAGGTTGTCTTACAAGATATACAGAAAAACTTTCACACTTTGGACAGTCGGAATGAAAAACCGTTGAGTCCCACATGAAATCGGAAAAAGGCACAGATGATGCAAAAAAAAAAGCACCCTGTTAAACAAAGCGTCCAATACATTCAGAGGAGTTATTTGACAAAGAAGAGGCCATAACCATTTTATAAAAAGTGGATTTAAATAACACCTTTCTTTGCTTGTGTTTTTTGTGCCATTTTTCATTTTTAAAGTTTGATAAAGTGCACTTTATTGTCTCCTTAAGGACTCCCAAGTGCTGCAAACAATCAGCTGCCTATACAGTAGAATCAATAAAGAAAACAAATAAAGACAAACACAATAAACAGAAAGTCCCGCAGTGCAAACCAGAAAACACAAGAACACACTTTGCACATTACCCATACTGCACAAGATCTGAATCAAGCACAAGAAAATACAACAACAGCATGATGCTATTGCACAACCCAGACGGCCTTAAGAAACATTATTTAGAAGTTTGATCGATGTGGGTACAAAACAGTTTTTAAAACGGTTAACATCGGGGGACTCTGTTTCGTCTGCCTGCTGGTTAAAGTTCATACTCAGAGTAGAGGAGGTGAGACGGGTCAGACATCGCTCTCTGAGAACTGACTGCTCATATTTTTTCATTATTAACATCCTGAAGTACATATCTGTTGTCTTACTCCCATCGCTGGATGTTGCCTTAACTCCCTAAATGCATCAGTTTTATTACGTTTACTTCTTCCCCTGTCTGTGATTGCCTGAACGCTAAACTGTCAGACGATCAAAGACGGCTGAGGCCATGTTAGGATTCTCTGATGGTTGTGCGTGTGTGTGTATGCGTGCAGCCTCTGTAATATGAATGAGTGTGTGCGCGGTGTATTTTTAGCTCCTATATTTTAAGTGTTAGATAATGGTCCCCGAAGGAGGATCCCACTTCCACTAGAACAGAGTCAGACATTTCAGATGGATCACAGGCGTGTGTGTTCATGTGTGTGTCCGTGTGCGTGTGTGTTTGTGCCCGAGGCGAGCTGTGTTTCAATTCATTGGTCTATAAAAGGCTCTGATATGTTGCAGTAATGTGGAGCTGTTAAACTGTTCACACACACTCTCAGTGATTGTTCACAGACCTCTGGCAAACCTTCAGATTCTCGTTGGGCTCACTTTAAAAACACAAAAAGTCACATTTTTGTTTCTTCTTCATGTACAGTTTACGCTAATGTGTTAGCATGTAACCCTGTGCTCCACACACACAACAGTACACACACACACACACACACAGGGTGATGATTGGCTGTTAATGAGGTCGGAGCGCGACGATGATGTGAGCGTGTCAGCTCCGGATGATGTCACTCTCCCTGAGGCCTGAACCCATTATAGACCATTAGTCATAATGTTATCACACTGACACATACACAGACACACACACACTCACACAAACACACACACACACACTTGAAGAAACACACAGAACACTTTGCCTGTTTCTGTTAAACACTCACACTAACTAACACATTTTTAATCACTGAGACATGAACACATGTCAGAACAAAGCTAACTGATGTATACAGATTCACGGAGGGAGTTTATTTAATGCCGCAGCTCGAAGACGAGTCAGACGGAGAAACACTGGGGGCAAAATTCAAATAAAAAAATCCAAGCCTGTGATGTTAATTAAGATGAAGAAATTTTAAAAAAAATAGTTTGAGAGATAAAACTTTAAAGCCAGTTGCGAGAAGTTCTTGCTGAGGGTGGCGCTCAGTGTTTAGTCAGCTCTGCATCGGTCTGTAAACCTTTCTGCGTTCTAACCTCTCTCCATTTTTCAAAAGCATCTCCAATATTGATCCTAGTTTGAGCACGTTTCTGCTCGTGGAGCTTATTAGAAACATGCAGAGGCTTTTTAGGTCGGGTACAATCACTTCTATCTGAACCAGTTCTCTTGCCCGCTTGCCCGTTTGACCTGATAACTGGTCTCATATCTGGCAAACCGAGGGGCGTCCAAAACGGCTGTGTGTGGGGCGCCTTAAAACCGCCTACCTTCTCCGGTCCAAACAGTACATTCAGTAGATATTGTACATATTGGGCCTGTAACAATGTACTCAGGTTTGTGCTAACCTTAGCATGCTAATCTGTGAATAAGAAAGGCTGCAGGTCGATGAAATCATACATCATTTATTAGAAAGATATTAACAATGTTCTCCAATATTTAAACTGATTTTTTGTTAAAGCTAAAACAAGCTGAGTAGATTCTGCGTGTGAGTGTTTCCAAGATTCTGGGTCCATGTTGTAAACATTGATGTTGGGGAAAAAATTGAAAGATTTAATAAAAGGAGAAATAAAAAGCAGAAAATAAATTGCCGTCAGAGGAGGAGACAGAAACGAGAAGCTGCAGATTTATTTAGGAAGGAGAGTTAGAAGGAGATAAAGATGGAGGAGGGGGCTGTTCAGCGGCGTGTGAAATGATTTGACCTAGAAGATAAAACTGAGGAGATAAAACTATTTGTCCTTTTATTATTTTTCCCCTCTTCCTCTCGGCCCCCCCGCAGAGATGACACGCCACTCAGGATTATCAGAGACAAACAAAGTAATCACTGAGAAACACATTTTTTTTCTTCTGCTCTGTTAAAAAACTGGAGCACGACCTTGAAACTACTCGACCCCCCCCCCCCCCCCCCCCACACACACACACACACACACACACACACACACACACACACACACACACTGCAGGTGAAACATCTCAATAAATGTGTTTGATCAAATATTCTTCCAATCGTCTCTCCTGGAGGTAGCAAACAGCAGGTGCTGTAAAAATGAAGAAAGCATGTTTCCACTGTAGAGGCATACAGCTCCCTCTAGTGGTCACTTCCAGAACTACACACATACACACACACACACACAGACACACACACACACACACACACACACACACACACACAGGCTGCGTTCAGCTCCATTTAGCTTTATAAGGCAGATTTATGAGTGCGGAATATAGGACAGAGGAAGTGTCTGATTCACCCTTCAGCTGTGTGTGTGTGTGTGTGTGTGTGTGTGTGTGTGTGTGTGTGTGTGTGTGTGTGTGTGTGTGTGTGTGTGTGTGTGTGTGTGTGTGTGTGTGTGTGTGTGTGTGTGTGTGTGTGTGTGTGTGTGTGTGTGTGTGTGTGTGTGTGTGTACTCCTGCACACTGTAAAATTGAACTGAATTCTACTGTAAATTTAAAGCTAGCTAAACTTAGCGTAGCTATACATTTTAACTTTGATTCACCTCATTCTTGTATCTGCTAAACTTAGACCTGTTGTTTTTATTCATAGTGAAAAATGTGAATAAAAACACACTGAAAAAGCATGATACATAAATTAGCGTTAAAAGAAGATGGCAGCCATGTCACTGCCATTATTGTGTGAATGTGCAGATGTGACCTGCGGTGTAAAAGCGCTATGAGTGGTCAGAAGACTAGAAAAGTCCATTTACCATTTACATCGTCTCCGTTCAGAGGTGTTAATATTCATGTTTTCAGTGAGTTTCTCCTCAGGCTGTTTTTTTTAAAAGCAGCAGCGATGATGAACTCTCTCTCCACATGAGCGCTCCGCTCACAAAAGCCGGAGTTAAAAAAAAACTCTGCGAGCTCTGAAGCATGACTGAATGTGAGTGTTGGACTTACATAAGCTCTCTCCATCTTTTATGGAACAACAGTTTTTTTTCTGTGTCGCTGAGTCTCAGAGTGCAGAGATGGACTGAAGTTTGTGTTGTTTGTGCTCTTATTAAAAAGTTTTCTGCATCGTGCTGAAGCTCCTCTCACTCGCCCTCACATTCATCAGAGGAGGAGACAAAAGCAACAGATCAGAGCGTCACTTTGACTCGCTGATTAAACAGTCCGATCTCAGTATCAGATCAAAGTTAAGGTCATAATACCTGAAAATGTTGATCTCTTTTTTTTTTTAACGTTTTCAGATCTCAAAATAAATCAACACGACAACATTCAGTCTGTCTTAATCTAACCCCGTCTTCTTCTTCTTCTCCTCCTGTATTTTTTGCAGTGTTCCTGCGGAGCCACAAGAGTCTGGAGTCGGTCGACCCTCAGTTCACGATGAGGAGAAAGATGGAGCAGCTGAAGGAGGAGCTGGAGCTGATGGAGCAGCTGAGAGACGTGAGAGGAAACACAAACACGACAGCTTAATGAGCGTCAGTGAGGGATCCGAGGACAAACTGAGCTTCGCTGCCTTTTTTATTTAGTAGTTCCGAAACACAATGTTCTCGTGATTTTCTGACAGATCTGAGGACGTGCAGAAACCAAACGTGTTGTGTCCCAGTTTTTTGAGCTGCTTATTAATTTAGTGTCATTGTGTCTTTGAGGTGCACTTAACGTAACGCTAGCATTCGGACAGGAAAAAAGTGAGTCGGAGTGCGCTATAAATGGACACAAATGTCCCACAATGCAACGCTCAACAGACTGCCCTGTCTTGATGGGAAACATCTGCCATTGTTGAACCTTTTAGTTCAAATGTCATTTTTGTACAAAACTTTAAAAATATGTATAAAAAACAATCAGTAGTCGGAGAACACCTGATACAGCATGTTCTCATGTCACACAACAATATTCTTTCAGCAAGCATAAATTATTAACTGTTTAACGGTTTAATTGTAAACACAGTTCTATTTCATTCTGACCGTCAGAGGCAGTTCTTAACACTGGATTATATCTGTCTCGTGCACGCGCAGGTCGATTATTTAATATCAACAAAGTCACATGTGACCTGGGATGACGCCTGACTTGGCTTAGATAGCCCGCGTCTTGAGAAGAGCCTGGCTTCAGGTTTCTTTGGTTGTTTTTTCCGCGGTGAGAAGTGTCTGCGCTTTCGCCGCGAGGCTGATGGTATCACGGTGTGTGACAGCTGATTGTAATTGACTGCTCCATGACATTTTTATGTTTGTGGTAAAGAGCGAGGGCTCCCCAGCAAACGGTTTTCGCTTGTGGGTAAAATGAAATAAAATAAAAAGAGAAATATCGAAAAAGAAAAGACAGAAACAGCTTAATTGTTTGTTAAGCAGTGCATCTGTAAGCGCTCCCCATACGTAAACGGAAAGGGAGTTGATTTGATTTGTGGGAGAGTGTTTTCGCTCCTGAGCAACACTACCCAGATAGGTGACCGCGTCCGACATCTTCGGGTCCCATCTTTGCCGTTCATGCATGGCGCCGCTGCATACATCCGATGGCCATGATGAGTGCCCTATATGCCTCTTTGTGGCACACCTGAGGGAGGGGCTGTCAGATAGTCTGTGCATGAATTGCAGTTTCATGCCACGGGATCTGAAGCTGGCTCGGCTGGCTGAGGTGGAAGGACAGCAGCCTGGAGACCAGCTGCCTCCATCTGGTTCGGCTTCAAGGAGGCGCGGTGTGGCGAGTGGCGCACCCGCTGGAATGTGCTCCACCTAGGAAGAGATCTAAGAAGGTGGATGGTTTAGCCATTAAGGTTGATAAGCTAGCCTCAGAGTTTGCAGAGGCTCTGCTTCTTAACATTCAGCCAAGCAGGAGGGGCGGCAAGTCCGGGAGAGGGGCCCACCTGATTGGGATGGGAATGCCTTGTCTACAAGGGCTTGGTTCAGAGGCTGCCCCAGCGGTCATCCAGAATTCATAGAACCGTAGTTACATACGTAACTTGCGTTCATGTTTTTAGAACAAGAATACCAAAAAGAAAAGCTTCCCTTTCAGTCCACTTGATGGCACTCATTCTGCCTCATGTGGGATCAGCAGAGTTCAGTAGTTGTGTGAAACAAAACACATCCTCTATCCTCAAAGTACGACGGAGTATTAGGTCCACGTTAAAGAAATGAAATCTAAAAATTTTAGATTAAAAATGTACATTTACAAGATTGGAGTTGTACATTTATGAGAATAATGTCATTTATTTACAATATTGAATTTGTAAATTGATTGATAAATTGAAAAATGATTATCCTGAGATGTTGTATCAGAAGAGCAGCCATTAGCCTGAAAGAAATTGATGAAAGGGAACAAAGCCATTTCCTCCGCCACAAGAGACAATTTCCGCCATGTCAGTGTTGCCTCCGTTTCTTCAGTATCTTTTCAGGGTCCTTATATTTTATGACAACGTGATGCTGATGTGCCAAAAGAATGTGTAGTTTCATATCTGCATAAGTAAAGCTCCAACCCAATTAATGGGCTATTTAGAGACCTTGTCAAAGTGTTCATTTAAAGCAGGTCAGTTTATACTCTCTTTTAGTCTATCTGTGTTAAAGACTACACAAGGAGATTATTTCACATTAAGCTGCCAACCCCTCACTCCTGTTTGTGTTTCCTGTTCAGAGCATCGAGAGCAGGCTGAAGGTCGCCCTTCCTGAAGACCTCGGATCGTCTCTGATGGACGGCGTCGTGCTCTGTCATCTGGCCAATCATATCCGCCCGCGCTCAGTGGGCAGCATCCACGTCCCCTCGCCTGCAGTGGTACGTCTCAGACTCACCCTGAAGCCTGATTAACATTCATGATCCTCTGATTCATATGAAGTCTGACCGTCTTCAACTGTTCTACTTATTGGTGACTTAATGGAGTTAAGAATGTTGTTTATAAGTTGATATCATTTATTACACAACAGTGTTAACTACTTCATTCTGATTGGCAAACAATGCATATCAACGGTCTGATATTCCTTTACATTTCACCATTGTTAAGAATAATTCACTGTAACTAAGAAAAGCAGACGGTTGCTAGGGACGCGTCTCTTCTCACAGACTCTGGAGGACTAACTGTAATCACATCAATCCGCAGAAAGAATAATTTGACGTCGGTCTGTTGGGGGAAGAGAGAAAGGAGAGGATAACAACGGGAAGGGAAGAAGTTATAAGACACAAAATCTGCAGGTTATGAAAGAGAAATCTACCAAACTGATGACGGGACATGATGTAACCACAAAACGTTTTATGGTGTGAGTCGAGATACAGACGTGTTTTAAATATGCTGAAGGGGTGAGAAAGTCACAGACTCTGTCATGATGAGGCTTAAAAAAATGCTTCTCTGATTCATGAGGATCTGTTCATTCAGATGTTCAGTTCAATGTGAGTTATAACAGCTGGTTAGCTCATTTTGAGAAGGCTCCATAGTTACCGTTGCTATGGAAGTTAATCTTCCTGAAGATTCTAATGGACTCTTTGTTTAGTGGAATAAATAAAAAAGTTTAGCGACATTTTCTCCTTCAGGATGAAGGGCGCTGAAGCTGAAGAGGTTGTAGAAGTTAACTAACCTTGTTATGAACGTGTCTGTGTGTCATCTTTTATTTTCAGCCCAAACTCAGCATGGCAAAGTGTCGGAGGAACGTGGAGAACTTTCTGGACGCCTGCAGGAAGATCGGCGTGCCAGAGGTAAGACAGTTCAACCTCCTCCTCTACCTCCTCTTCCTCCCTGTTGGTGACAACGTTAAGTATCCTCTATGAACTGGAGGTGTTCTCATGGTTTTCCTTTTGTTCCAGAAATTCTAACAAGTTACACGTTTGGATATTTTCTGAAAGGTTGAACATGTTTACTGGAGTTTTCAAACAGTGTCAGAACAGAGGATATTATCAATTTGATAACTGCATTTTAAATAGATGAATTAATTATTGCTAAATTTGACTCGGGTCATCTCTTGTCAATCAGTAAATAAGTTCTTGTAATTTTCTTCCTGCTTGAACACTTATCACCGTTACAGCAGGCAGTGATGTGACACACGGCTTAAAGACGAGCTGCAGAAACTCTGAAACTTTTATCACCTCCAGGGAAAGAGTTAGCATCCAGAAAATTCAACACACAAGCAAAAAGAAGATCGAAACCTGAAAACACCTCCAGTTCATATCAGAGATATCACGCTCAAATCCAACAGTTAAAGTTTGACATGAAAATGTTTTTTTGCTTCAGTTGATGAGATGTTTAAGGAACCTCGACAGCGTCCTGCAAAAACTCTTACAGATGTTATGTTTGCTTATTGAAAGGTGGAAAACAGTCAAGTTTATTTCACATGAGCAGTTATACTATCTCATGATTGACGTCTGTTTGTGACGAGGAAACTGAAGAGGAGGATTTTTGCAGGACACTGATGACGACACTGGACTGTAAAGCAGATCTGGGAGCACAGCTGATGATGACTCTGATGTTTTACAGCAGCAGTTTAAACCTTTTAATCACCTGGTAAAGAACGGATACCTGACATCGCTTCAAGCATGAAGCAGAACTGCTGAATGAAAGAGTTACCTTCACATTAACTTTAAGTAAAAAACAGTCTCTCAGCGTTCTCCCAGCTCTGGTTTCAGGTTTCTACCTGCCTCTTTTTGTTCTCATCGCTTTAAACGGGTTTGTTAATGTCGACGTTTAACGCTGAATCATCATCATGGCTGCCTGTGGCTCCCTGCTTCCTCCATCATGACAGGAGTCGATAAAGACTGTAGTGTTAAACAGAGCTGCCCTGAGTGTGTGTGTGTGTGTGTGTGTGTGTGTGTGTGTAACTGCACTGGAGTTGACTAAGCGTGCAGACTGGATGTGTAAAAGGTAGGGGTGTAAAACTGAAATGAACTGAGTTTGTAACCGATCTTAACGTTAAAAATCTGAGTGAGTCCTGAAACGGTGAAGACGCAACACCAGCCGGTCGATTGGCCGGATTTAAACTGGTTTACTGAAGCTTGGTCGCTTGTCACTGTGCTCAGTGTCTTCAAGGCTCTTTCGTTCAACCTTTTCATGAGACTAACCATTAGCCTTAGGCTGCTAGCCAGTTAGCGCAAGTTAGCTCCCAGAGAGAAAATAATGACGTCTGCTAACTCAGCTGCATCGTACAGTTCTCGACCTCAGGAATGAAGTCATGTGGGCTTAAACCAGAAGAAGGAAAACTTTCCAAAAGTGTGTCTGAAGGCTTTGAAGAAAAGTGATTAAATACAACAGCAGCAAGACAAATCTCTAACTTGTTGAGCCAGCACAACTGAATGTGTGCTAGGATGCTAACATTAGCAAGCATTAGCACAAACAGACCAGAATATTAAACACTTCTTCCAACCTCAACTCGCCAAAGTCATGGCGTCTATCGTCCTTTAAGGTGTCGATGGGAGTGATGGCTTTCTTGCCATGGTCACACACACATAGCTCGTTCACACAGCGTATTTTTCCATCTCTTTTTACAGTTCATTTGTTTTTGATTTGTGCCTCTGGGGGAATTAATTTCTTTGTTTTAAGTGTAAAATATACAGAAGAGCTCATATTTTTGTGAACCTTTTGAAGTGAGACACCTGGACAGGTGTGTGTGTGATAAAGACATCAGATCATACACATAATGTCAGAAGATTTGTTTCTAGCTTCGGTGTTATTGTTGAACCTGCAGACTTTTTTGTTTTGGTGTAAATGAACCTCTTAGCTCCATCTTTGCTGCTGTCTGTTGACTGTCTCTGGTCTCTGTGCTCATGTTGCTAACCACCTCAATGCTTCCCTGAAAACGCTTCAGCGAGCTAACGTGCTAACAGCTTCCCCAAGCTAACATGCTAAAAAGCTTTGTCCAGCTAACGTGCTCGTAGCTTCTGTGCTAACGTTGCTGCGCTGTTGGCTGACTGCACAGGCACCTGGCTCCTCCGTGGACTGCTCACTGGGAGGGATGGAGCTCACCTGCTCTCCATCCTCTCAGTAAGCATCCCTGATTGTTGCCATGGTAACCAACACCTACCTGCCTGCCTCCTCCTCCTACTCACCCCGCTTCACCTCACCAGCTCTCACACTCTCTCCTCTGTGACCTTTGTGTCCATTGTTTTAATCTTCTGCCTTTTCTTTCTCTTTACTTTACGGCTGGATCGCACCACGATTTCCTCCTCCACCGACTCCTCCTCCTCCTCCTCCTCCACCACCCCCTCTTCCTCCACCTCCTTTCTCTCTTCTCCACTCTTAACTCTCCATTGTTCATAAATTCTATTCTTCACGCTCCATATTTATTTTTCTATTCCTCCATTTTCCTCTGGATTATTTCACACTGAACTTTTGTATTTTGTCCAATCATCACATATCCTTCATCATCTCTACATCTTCTCTTCATCTTTGTTCTCATTTCCATGTGATTCTATTCTCCTCCATTTTTCAAATTTTGTTCATGTTCACATTTCTGTTCTTCTTCGTTTCATCATTACGTTGTTTTTATCCTCCAATCTTCTGAATCATTTTTTTACTTTAATTTTTTAACCCTACCTCCTCTCTCCCCGTCTCTCCCTTTCTCCTCTCCTTTATTTGATCTTTTACTCTTTCCTTCCTTTCGTCGCCCACTTTTTTTTTCCCTCCTTCCCTTATTCCCTTCTTGCTTGTGTCACCCTTTTCTCCTTTCCTTCTTTGACCCTCCTTTTCTCCTTCATTTAATCCCCCTATCTTCCTGATCTTCCTGGGGGCGCCAGTCCTCCCTCTGTTCGCCCTATGACATCATCCAGTGCCGCCTGCAGCCGGTCCACATCACAGTCCGGGCGCTGGTTGCCCGGGATACAACCTCAACGCACAGGAAACAGGAAGCGGCAATCTTGACCCCAAACCGTGCCCACCCTGCGGTGTCAGAGACTCCCTCATTGGTTTCTGTCACCACTCAAACCCCGCCCCCTGCATGGCAAATCTGGGACCTTATTAGCTCGAGCCTGCTTCACATCCTCTGCCTTGTTCTGCTCTTCTTGGCCTATAGTTGGAGCGAGCTCACGTAACAATGACAACAGACTCCTGTCAGTCAACTCTCTGCCCCGCCCTCTTTCTGCACAGGCCACACCTCTTTCCTTTTTTTTTTTTTTTGCTGCATTCAGGTCACATGGGAAAAATGATGCTCAAAATAAACTCATTCTTTGAACGTCAGGGTTAGAGTAAATCAACAATTCTGACCAAATAAAATAATCTCATTCTAGTTATAACAGAATGTGCTTAAGCATCAGACAGTTTCTGGTGGGTCCCTGGACCAGGCTAAAAAGAATTCAGAGAGACCCGCCCTTTTCTCAAGTCTGTGGATTAAAACTTCATGGAGAATCGGGTCGAAAGTTGTAGTGCGAGACAGCACTGTCTAAATTTAACAAATCTGTTGGCAATGTTTCAGTTTCAAGAACTGACAACATCCAGTATTTGTGCATTTTAGACTTTAGACAATCTGCTGGAGTTTGTCTGCAATTTAAATGATGGCTTACAGGCAACAGGTATTGATACTATTTGATTTTGACTAGCATTGTCAAAGTTTTAAAAAATCTGGTATTTTGGCGACCCCATGTGACCACAATAAATCAGATTTTTTTCATCAAACCACAAATCAAACTATCACTTCATCCCATGTGATTTTCTCTTCCTAACGCCATTTTGAAAAGTATCAGCTCACAAACATGTCGGTGGTTTTGCAATAAACAGACTGAAACTTGTCACAGAAACAGGACAAGACGGAGCGGCAGGTTTTCTTAAAGTCTCTGATGTCTTATCAACATGCTGCTGAACAGCAGAGATAATCTGATGCGTGCAGGATTTACAAAGTCTTATTCCCTTCACCTGATTGAGCCGTGAAAACTCTTTGGTTCATTAAGGATTCGGACACCATGATGGAAGAACGATGGCAGAATAAAAATGGTGGCCACTTTTGGAGTTCTTCCTCCTCCCTGACAAAAAAAATAATGCAATTGTGTTCAGACGTTTTATGGATTATTTAGCATAAAGCTGATTTGTTTCTACTAACATGACTTTGCTTGATTGGTTACCTCCAATCTCCCAGCAGCCATTTGGAACCATAATGGAGGACTCATCAAAAACTTGGTTGTAGTCAGTTGACATTAATTCATCTATGGAAGATATGGGTTGTCACGATACCAGAACTTTAAACTTTGATATGATACTGGTAAAAATCAATGTATTGAAAGTATGTCAGGAGAGCACACCAAAACATATATTTATTGAATTTCCACTTGTTTATAATGCCGCAGGTGTATTCGGGCAAATCCCTGAAGCCACTGAAGAAAGATTCTGTCCAAAACATCAACAAAAAAGTGAAAATTTAAAATGTTGATGTCCTCTCCTGAAATACTTTTGATACATTTTTTTGGTTGAGGGATCCACACCCAGTAAAGTTACTGAGGGTGAACACATTTTTGGGATTTTGTTACTTACGATACCTCTTTAATACCACGGCAACAAAAATGTAAGGCCAATAGTGGGTACTTTTTAATTTCAATTCAATCCTGCACACTGTCTTAATTGCGCAAAAAAACATTGGCTTCTGTACGTAATTGTGCAAAAGAGTTTGCCTGCAATTTTCATTCCTCTCCTATGAAGTAAGACTTTCAATCAATAAAATAAGAGGTTATATTGCTTTAAAACATGCGGTATCAAAGAAGTATGGAAAATTTAGACAACCTTAATGGACGCTAGCTTCATTGAAATGATGGTTAGCTTTCCAAGAAACTAACAAGCTTAAAAATATCAGTCAGCAGACAGTTTACATGCTAAATATTAGGTTTATCTAACTGTAAAGCTAACAGTTAACCTCAGAATGAATACAACTTTCTGTATTTTATAGACATGCCATATAGAAGTGATGAAGACCTCCAGAATAGCTCCAAATGGTTCGGCTGCAGCCTGTCTGTTTAAAAGTGAAGCTAACACATTAAAGAAGATGATCACTTTAGCTACAAACGTGTTTAAATATAAAATTATTTCCTTCACATTTGTATAACCAGAGTTACTTCAGCTAATAAGTTTTATTTTCATGGCTGTTCTCATAAGCACACGGTACCTGAATGAGAAACGTTCAGCTTCTCACCGTTATAGAAATGCACTAATGGTTATATTTTGATATAAAAAGTTTTGACATGTTGTGACGAGCAAAAAGAGGCCAAGTACTGAATTATTTAAATTAGAGATGTGTGTAATTACTAGTCGTCACCCTCGCTAGTCGGCTCCAGAATGAATAATCAATTAAAGGCATCCGGTTAATGGGCCTGCGCTCGCTCTACTACCCGGATGTAAACAAGCACAGTGAACGGATGGCATGTCGTAGGAGCATCACAGTTTGTCAGTATTTTGATCTAGGAAATAAAGATAAAGTTGTATGAAGACTGTCAGGTAAAACTGACATATCGACCAGAGCACAGGCATGTTTGTTAAGCTGCAGGGAGAACCAGAAGCTGGTGGTGCTAGCATGGCTAACGTTAGCCAAGTAACATTGTTTACCCGCAGAGAAAAACTGATTACGCTTAATTTTGACTGTTCTGAGTGTTGTTTTTTACCTTTAGACTAGTCTGTTAGTCTAACTTTGAATTTGCATTTAATCAGCTTTGAAAATAGTCTACTAAAAACTGTAATTTGGGTTTGCTGTTTTCAAACTTAAAGCTACTGTGTGTTTTTTTTTTGGCTGGTTATGAGACTGACTGAAATTAATGCTGATGTCTCCATACGACCTAAAAAAAGGAATGAGATCATCAGCATACTTTTTTTTTTCTTCCTTTTAGTACATTGTAATGCCTGAAACCACTGCCAGAGGGGTAGGTGATGGATAAATACAGTCGCATACAGAATGGGGCAGTATGCACATAGTTTGCAAAATTGCCAATGAGCAGCAAAAAGCAACCATGGCAACCACTCGAAGTCTTACTCCATCCTGCTAACTGTGGACCCTTTTTCCTACTTCCACATTCATTGTGCAGCTAAGAAAAATAAATGGGCCCGTGCTGCGCAGATATGACGTTTTTTTTAAAGCGACAGGAGCTGTTTAGAGTTACGTCATATAGTGGTCCACTTCTTTGTTTGAGCATGGTTGTGCTCCTGTGGATCCAGGGCCAGAGACCACCTCTTCAGGCGGACTTGGGCACAGTACCTGAGTTCAGTACGTTAGTCTTCACACTGATTAAATGAATCGGACTTTGGGGTTAAGTGTACTCAGATCTGGACCCCGGTCCCTCGTGTGAAACCACACTTAGAAAGCAGGAGGAGATTTTATTTTAAAATATTGCCTATTTATACCTGAACATGTTTCAGTAAAGTGTTAAGGGGTACAAATCTCTCCACAGGGGGTGCCAAAATCAACAAAAAAGCTAAAGTTACTCACAGGAGCTTTAACAAAAATGTGAATTTCATTTGTATTCTTATTCTTTTTTTAATTTATATTGAGTAACTGCATTGTATCCTGAAATGCAATGTGACTGTTTTTGGAGAAAATCTGAAGGGCTAAAGACACGAGATAATGTTATGAAAATAAATAGATTTATTAGTCTTCTTCAGCTGTTTATCATAGACGGTTCAGGAAAATCACTCTGTTTGTAATCTTGAGAGCAACTAAAAACTGAGGAATGTGGATTTTTTTTTTCTCTGCCCACAACACTTCCAAATAACGTAATTTGCCCGACCATGAGCAGCTGAAACAGAATGAACAGAGACGTCTTCTCTGGCACTCTGCCTTTAAATGACTGATGTTTTGAATGTGAATATTTAGGATGTTTTATTTGTATTCTTTGAGTTAACTCTGGCAGAGTCATGAGCTTTTGTTGTAACATTTCCCGTAGAGGTTTTTTCACTTTGTGCCGATGTGAATGTATGACGGGTTTAATGAATACATTTATTATGACTTGTGTATGATCTCTGACAGCGTTAAAGACTGAGTTAATAAACGTTGGGGATGCTGTCTCTTCTACGCTGTCCTTGTTTTAGCCAAAGGTCAACAGGACTGAAAATCTAACATGACCTGAAAATAAGAAATTCTTCAAAAGATGCTTTAACAGATTTTAATTTCATACAAAGAGGGGGATGACAAATATCAACTCCATTCTTCTATATGTCTGTTAGCATACACAGCAGAGCAGATGATTAGCATCCAGGCTGTAATATAGCCTTAGATGAAGCCTTAAAGTTCAGTTTTTACACAATTTGAACAAAAAAAACGTATTATATAAAACATGGACGTAGTTTCAGTGACGTCACCTGTTTTTTCTGAAGAGGAGTTCTGAAGTCCAACAATGACGGTCGCCATATTGGAAATGCTGACTGTTTTTCTAAGTTGGTCTAGGTAAAGAGGTGGAGCAAAGGCGGGCCTTAAGCCTCCTGACAAACAGCTTCAAACACACTCAGCTGATTGTTTGGATCAGAGTTATCTCAATCCTACACAAACTGGACATTTTATCCGTATCAAAACCAGGATTGGATTACCTGATCCATCCGATTATGAATCCTTTGTTGATTTTATTTTGAACAACTTGATTTTTAGATAAAATTTCATCTGATCGCTCTAATCCTGTTGGGGGACTTTTGAGTCATTACAGGTCACCCTTGCAAACGACACTCTTATACACTCAATACAAATTAACACATTTCCAGTTCTATGTGTTTGATAATGTATGAAAATAAACCCAAATCTCTTCCAAACATGGATGTGGCTACTTCCTGGACACATCATGTATCTTTGAAGACCCAGTGTGTCAGGACAGATGTTTGAAGAATCTTGAACAGCTGTATAATGAAATCAGGAGCTTCTCCTTAGTGGTTCGCACGAACACTATAAAAGCAGCATCATTCATTTCTGCATAAATTGAGATGAGACAGTCAGATCTTTATTTAGCTGCTTGAAGCACACGTTATGTTTCCACGCTCACCTGTACCTCTCCTCTCTCTCCTCCCCCCTCTCAGGATAAACTGTGTCTCCCCCATCACATCCTGGAGGAGAAAGGTCTGGTGAAGGTCAGCGTCATGGTGCAGGCTCTGTTGGACCGGGGCTCCCCCCAGCACGCCTTCCTAACGTGAGCTACAGCGACGCACCGCCACGAGAAACAAACCCCACACACGTGGAGCGCCTCTGTGCTCACTCTGCAGCCCTCTCAGTGACACACTGTGTGACAAGATTTAAGGATGCAAAACGGTGTTAAGGGAACTCAAGCAGTCAGGACATTACTGATTCACAAATTAATGAGTTTTTATGGGTTTATTAACGAGTCAGGACGATGCTGAGCAGAATCTGATTGGTTCATTTCTCATCATCAATGTTTTTTTATTACTTTCCAAAGGCCGTGAGTGAAAATGAACCTCATTACTTCAGCTTCATAAAAGAGACACAAACTGTCAGAGAAAGGAAACAAAACAGCCTGTTAGTTCAATCTTCAGTTTTCTCTTTCAAAAAGTCCTGAACCTGTTTGTGTCAAGATTCAGGGGGGTAATGGAGTGGCTGTGAGAGCAAACAAAAAAAGGCTCAAAGTCAGAAAATGTCACAAAAAGAAAGTTTTAAATATTTCAGATTTTAGTTTTGATTTAGTCTGAAAAATTATAAAAGCCGTACAAAACATTTTAGGACCAATTTTAAATCTGTGAAATGCCAATTTATTAAAAATATTTTCTCAAAACACAAAAAACTGAGCAGATGGAGACCATTGGTTCCCCACCTGGAGTCCGGTGCCCCCCAGAGGTGGCGCCAAAGATCTCTGCACATATTAGCTAAAATCATCAATCAATCTTTATTTGTATAGAGTCAATTCATAACAGAAGTTATCTCAAGACACTTTATAAAAAGAGCAAGTAAAAGACCTTACTCATTGATTTATTATCTGTAAAGAACCAACATGAATCCATCATGAGCTCTAAATAACATTTAGCAGAGTTACAGTAGCGAGGAAACTTCCTTTAAAGGTCCCATTTTCTGCTAAATCCACTTCACCATGTTTCTCTAACACTAACATGTGTCTCTAGTCTGTCTACAAACCCCCAATGATGAGAAAAGTCCATCCTCTCCGTCTTTTGCCTGCTCCACTTTTCAGAAAATGTCTGCTCAAACAGGCCGTTTGGAGATTTTCCCTTCATGACATCACAAAGGGCAGTAACCCCTCCCACAGGTGGGTGACACTCCCAAAGCTAGGTGTTTGTTCTGCGCTCTGAGTCTGCCTTCTCCCCGTAAACAATAGGACATGGAGTTAGAAAGCCCAAACCGCCTTGGGGGTCAGACACAGCTCATTTACATTTAAAGCTACAGACACAGAAACAGCCTGTTCTGAGCAGGGCTGAAATAGAGGGGTTTATAGACATGATCAAATACAGGATCAGAGTGGATTTAGAACAAGAAACTTCACAGACATGTTTTTAGGAGCTCTGAGACTTATTTAAACTGGTTGAAGAGGAGGAGAATTTGTGACCTTTAAGAGGCAGAAACCTCAGCCATATGAAAGTCTATAATTCTGGTGTCAGTCTAAAGATCCAGTAGGTTTTGCTCCTCCCTGAAGCCTTGATATCCACAAACAGGTACAGGGACACTTTAACATCAGTTCTGTGAGCAGTAGGTTTTCCGTCATGCAGTCTTAATGATCGGTGATTTATGTATAGGTTAGAGATCTGCTCCTCCTGAGGCTGCAGCACCAAACTTTCTGCACTGTGTGAGTAACATAAACCCAAATATGCATTCTGAACCTGGAGGGAGACTTTTCACACCATTTGTATTTAAACTTAAAAAAGGTATTTATAATATAAAGAGAAGCGGTTTGAGTTGTTGTAAACATTGAAAAAAAAAAAAAGAATATCCCAAAAATATTTTTCTCTAATATATTTTAGGTATAACTGTGTCTGTTTTTTAAAGTTTTACTAAGACTGTGTGGAGCTCTCTGCACGCCCCTGACCCATGTCTGAGTCGGTTTTTGACTCGACAGGTGTCCAGGTCTAAAGCTCTGTTTGCTCTTTTCTCACCTGGAATCTGTTGACGGGTTGTTTTTGTTGGGTTCTGGAGGTTTTTATGACTTTTTCAGTGTTCTTACTTCAGCAGTTTCTGCACACTTTGGTTGTTTCTTCAAGAGATTCAGTTTGTTATTGTGCCAAAACACAAGAGGTGTTAAAGGAGGATTTTTTTTTTTTTTTTTTTAAACTGGGACCAGTAGTTTTATGTTCTGGGGGTTTTTCTCCGGTAGATTTCTTCATTCTGTGGCAGAGAATCAGGCTGTAATGTCTGCAACATAATCCTTCATGTCCAGTTTTTAAAAAGATACCAGAATGCTCCTTTAACTCTCATCAGCCACACATCAAAAAACACACTGAGCTTTACATTTTACACTCCATATCTTCTGCACAGCTGCTTTCTTTACATGTACATATTGTCCCCCATCAGCTTCCGTACTCCGAGACACTTGCTTGATATCATAATTGTGTTTTAGATGTTTATATGTGAGGATGAGGAGGGTGCAGAGTCGGTGAGGAGGAGATCTTACACAGCTGCAGCCACGACAGCTCAGAACAAATATTCAAACAGTTCAAACACTACGAGTTAAGGCAGCCTGCAGAGTGTGTGTGTGTGTGTGTGTGTGCGTGCGTGCGTGCGTGCGTGCGTGCGTGCGTGCGTGCGTGCGTGCGTGCGTGCGTGCGTGCGTGCGTGCGTGCGTGCGTGCGTGCGTGCGTGCGTGCGTGCGTGTGCCAGAGCTGCAGCTGTGTGTGTGTCAGAGCTGCAGCTGTGTGAGACTCTGTAACTCAGGGTGGATTTACTACACTGATGATGCTTCATACCACAACCTGCTACGTCAGTACTGTGTGTGCGTCTGAGTGTGTGTGTGTGTGCGCGTGCGTGTGTTTTTCAACCAAGAAGGGGCAGTAAGTAATTATTATAACCTATTTAAATAAAGGTTAATTTGAACATAACTTAAGTGGTTTAAAAAACGACACTCCTAAAATTAAAAAGCAGTGTGCAGATATACAAATACACAAATGTTTCTAAATACTTAAAAACCTGAACAGTGTAGAACTTTCTGCGTAATCTTCTAAAAAACGGTTTTGTTCAACATGTTCCTTAATCGAGTGACTTTGTGAGAAAACTTCCACAGCTTCAGTCAGTGGTTAAAGATTTTGGACTTTTTCTTTTATTGGTCATTTATGTGTCAAACACATTTCACTTGAACATTCAGATCTCTATTTCAAATGTTACAGGTGTGATTATACGTCAAAGCCAGTAGAAATTAAATACTGACACAGCCACAACGGTTATATCAAAGCGCAAAGCAAAGTGAGTTATACAAAATATAATCTAGAAATATCTCATTGCAATAATATATTTGGAAAGTATATAAATATGTGCAATAAGAGATTTTGACGTACTGCCCCTTTAAATCCAAAATAATGTCAGGTCAGGGATCACGTCGAACTTCTACTGAAAGCCAAAATGAGACCACATGACGAGCGTGTTCTTGTGAATATTGTGTTTTAGTCTAAATAAAGATGCAGCTCAGTATCCAAAGTCTAAACTTAACGATTCAGGTTTCCTCTGATTGATCTGCAAGTTGCCAAAACAAACATGTCCTCTTGTGATTAAAGTTCATTTAAATGAGCTTTTATCCACTGTCTCAGATTCGAGTTGTCAAAGCTTCTGATACTTTTCTAAAATGCATTTATTTCATAGGACAGGTGCTAAGAGGAGGAAGGAGTCCTGCAAAACTGTCTTCATTAGAACAACAACAGAAAATGTTGGCAATGTTCCCGTGCAAAAATCAGACAGTGTGCACGAGTTTGCACCTTTTGTTATGAAATAAACGTGTGCGTGTGCAAACTCCTTCACACTGTTTAAAATGAACAAAAACATTTTCAAGGTTTCGGTACCAAAATGCTTGCCTGCAATTTTTTATAAATGGTAAATGGACTTGAGCTTATATATTTATTTTCTAGTCTTCTGACTACTCAAAGTGCTTTTACACCGCAGGTCACACCTACACATTCACACACTGATGGTAGAGGCTGCTGTGTAAAGAGACCATCAGAATATTAACTAATCCATTCATACACCTGTTGGCGGCTGTGGTTCAGTTGGAAGGTCGAGGGTTCAATCCCCAGCTCCTGCAGCCACAAGACACTCCACCCCATGTTGCTCCCGCTGCCTCTTCGGCGGCGTATGAATGTTTTTTGCCCAAGGATGAATCGGAGGGGGTTCGATCCCAAGCTCCTGCCTACACATCGGGCATGTGTCTGCAGGAGCTGGGGATTGAACCCCTGATTCCTGTTGAGGGACGACCAACTCTACCACTGAGCCACATTTCTTATGAAATAAACGTGGATACAAACATTTTTGGACCAAAACCTAACCAATGTTTTTGTGCAATTTAGACAGTGTGAAGGAGTTTGTCTGCAGTTTTTAGTACAAGAAATAACCCGATACAGGATGCCTGTAGGACTTCTATTTTTGTTGCCGTGGTGATGAACAGATATCGATGTAGTTTGATATTTTTAGTGATGTATTCAAAGTTTAACAATCTGGAATCATGACGACAGATCTTTATCACAAAGGTTTCCTGCAGTGGAATAATGTTCGAAAAAAAAGCAGTGATGAGTTCATGTGTTTATTCCTTCATGTGATGTTGTTTAAAACTCATCAGCTCTTGAGTGATGTCACACATGAATCCACACTTTGTGATTTAAAAGTAGAGCAGTAAATGATGTTTCTCACATTCCTGATTTTTAGTTCTAATGATGAAATCTGAACGCCTGCTGAAATGATGAGTACCGTGATGGTGTCAGGGATTTGTAGATGATGTAGCTGCAGGATAAATGAAAAGGGAGTCTCTGATCTGTCTCAACACTTCTTCACTCCTCGTGTTTTTCTTTTATTCTCGTTTGTGTTTTTTTGGGAAAAGCAATAAAAAACGTGAGCGACTGCTTCCCGACACAATCTGCACTTTAATATTTATATCTTTGTTTTGGCAACTGAGAATTAAAAAAAAAATCCCTTTTAATCTGAGAGAACGGTTTTAAAATGTGACGCTGATGTAAATGTGTAAATGTGATGCAAACGAAGCAGTGGTGTTGGTTTTTTTTAAACGTCTCATCCTTTGTAAAAAGAATCTCGGTGTACTCACATTTTGTACTTTTCTGACGGCGAGGACGTTTATTTTTGATGTGACTTCTTTTCAGGTTTGTTAATAGAAAACCTTTTTGTAACTCTTTGTGGAACCTTTTTGTGTAAGTTGTTGTACAGCAGCTTAAATTGAAATGCATGAAATGTCCCTTTAATGTCGCCTTAACTGCTGTGAATACTGTAAATATGCACTGTGTATTTCTCACCACTTTATCAGTAAAGACTGTTCAAACACAAACGCACCTTCGCTTCATTGTTTGTTTGTTTTACTGCATGAACACAGGTAGATACTTTATTTCTCTTTCAAGGAAGAATGTGTGACTTTTTGATCCAGTAGATGTCACTCTTTAGCACCAGCATGAAACCAAACCAAACTGCTGATTTTAGAAACAGATTACATTTTTCTAGTTTTGATCATGGATTTGTTTCCCAACGGTATCTGATGGACAGTGTGGTTCTCCAACATCGAAAACAGGAACAAGAAATATACAGAATGTCATCAAATGCCCTCAAAGGGATTCATCCCTCAACAGAGCAGTGTTTGTTTGCGGCAATTAATCATTGACATGTTGTTTTGAAAGTTGCCTGTACACCTGTAACAAACACAAACACAGGTAAGTCCCAAGAGACTCTCTCAGAACAATACTTTGCAGCTGATTTTATGGCGGCGTGCTGAACCTCTGAAGACGGCAGGTTCACACCTGCATGGATCAGCGTCAGGTGATGATGTCATCTCATCAAAGGTGTGAAGAAAAACATGCCAGAGCAAACAACGCTCATCAACACATGATGCAATCGTTGCTGAGCATTGATCGTTTTCTTTCCTGTTGGGATGGAATCTGAGCTGATGAGATTTTGGAGCAGAGCTCCTGCGGTACCAATATACTACAGAAAGACTGTGGAGTTCAACCATGACCTATTGACATAAAGCCAATCCTTTATTGACATGAACATATTTATTTCTAAGTCTGACCTATGTTTGAGTAACAACTGAAGGACCAGTTCATTGCAATCAGCTTTTGCTTGGCATAGAAATGTTGGGTTACAGAGCGGGTTAACTCTACCATAGCCCGGTTTAATTCCTCTCTTATACAGCTTCTGTTTATATGGACTGGGTTTAGGCAGAACCATTTGGTTGTATGCAGGGTGCATGGCAAGTTGCTGGAAGCTCCTAAAATACCATTAAGGCCCTGACACACCAAGCAGACGGCAAAGAACTAGTGGCGACGAATGCCGCCTCACGTCGCCTTTTGTTTTGGCCAAAATGTTCCACTAGAACACCACAAAGACTCCAGCCGACTGCCAACCACCACGTACATTCTGCGCATGCCTGAGAGGAAATAACTCTCCATATCAGCAAGCGGCGGTAGTCCGTTGTTATGATACGAGAAGACCATTTTCACACCGCTGCTCGGCAATCTTGAACCTTTACTTCTATCAAAAGAGACATTTTTTTGCTCGCACCTCCCCCAAACAATCTCCCCAGAAAAACTTTAAATATATAGATAGTTCAGAGTACCTGAATTATCTGTCATCTCACCTGCTGTTATCAGGGTCAGGGAGAGCGGAGTGAGTGAGTGAGTGAGCATGCCCATATAGCCGACCAAGGTCATTTCCTAGAGCAGCATTGTGGTAAGAGCGGCAAAAAGTGGACCAGGTCTGCTATGAGGAAAATTGCTTAACCAATTGTAATTCTTCCCACACTGTAAATACTAGGACATGACGCAGATTTACGAGGACAAAATATTAAAGGAGCGATATGTAGCTCTGACACCTAGTGTTTAAAATGGGTACTGCAGTCCAAATTCATTCAAAACATGTGCACCAGGTTGCCATGTCCCGGACACTGAAGCTTCAGTGTTTAGCCAGCTCTGCATCGGTCTGTAAACCTCTCTGTGTTCAAACCTCTCTCCCTTTTTTCGAAGCATTTCCAAAATTGATATCTGTGTTGAGGTCATTAGGCTTCTTGTCACAAAGTCAGCATTTACGACTGAAATGAAGAATGCATAGAATCCGGTCCTGCTTTGAGCTGTAAATCAGTACTCATGACCGTCAAGAGGATGTAGCTCGTACAACATAAAAAGGTTACAATCTGGACGCAGAGGTGCTGCTTGTCAACAGGCAATGCAGGCAACTGCTCGGGGCCCCAGGCCAGTGGGGGACCCCCAAGGGCTGAAAGACGTTGAGCCACAGCAGTGGTTAAAAATGTGAAAATTTTGCAATGACTGTAGTAACCGTCTCTAAGGGGGCCCCATCTGACAGCACCCCCTCGCCATGCCCCGCAAAGCATCGCATGCATTATTCCTGTTAAAACCAAAGTTTCTCAATGAAAGTAACCGAAGGACAATGAAGAGGAATTATCTGTGTGGGAGGGAAAAAAGAAAGTGGAAAAAAGAGTAAGATGACTAAGCGTTGGGACACAGGGGGACATAATTCGGATGAACGTTGTTTGGAGGGGCCCCCAATTAATTTTTGCTTAGGGCCCCGACAGACCTTAGAGTCTCCACTGTCTGGATGTCACTCCAGTTCTGTGCAAACCCGAAGAGCCTTACAAACAATGTTAGCAGCAATAATCACTTGATCAGTCCAAATATTGCTTATTGCATGCACATTAAGGTATTTCAATTACCAACACAGTGATGTCATACTGTGTTACCACAAAGATGAGCAAGGGCCAAGAGTAGAGAAAACCAGAGTAGAGAAAGGACAGAGACAGTGTGAAGATGTGATATGCATTGTAGGGGGGCGGGGCATAGGAGGTCAGGCCCAGAGAGAAACTGGGTGGAATCACGAGAATACAAGCGATGGGGAATCTGATATATGTGCTCAGCTCTGTCCAGAAAGCTGCCAGAGCTGCAGCTGTCTGCAGAAGATGATGGAGGTAGAGGTTGAAGCAGAGCTCTGCTTTCCTCAACTCCTCAACACCTCCTGCACTAAGCCCACGACGACTTGGCCAGAAGCACTGATCCTTCACATCGTGCTGTGCTCCATCTCCCTGCTCACCGTGGCTCTCAACCTGCTCGTCATCATCTCAGTCTCTCATTTCAGGCACAGAGTTATTTTTCAGATCCTCTTCACGCTGATTGTTTATAAAATGTCAAAAGTTGCTTCTGTACTTTCTCATTCGAAATCCTACCGCACAGTTTTGCACTTTGTTTTTTTTTGTAATGATGCTCATTTTGTCAGAGGTGTGGACTTTGTTGTTTTAATGTTGCTCTTCTTTTCCTCTCAAGGCAGCTCCACACTCCCACTAACATCCTCCTCCTCTCACTGGCTGTGTCAGATCTCCTCGTGGGCCTCCTGCTGATGCCTGTTGAAATCCTCCTAAGTGCCTCCTGCTGGTTTTTCGGTGACCTCATATGTACCCTGTACAGTTATGTGTCCTTCATCATCACCTCCGCCTCGATAGGAGACATGGTTCTCATATCTGTCGACCGCTACGTTGCTATCTGTGACCCTCTGCGCTACACCAGCAGAATCACAGAGAGGAGAGTGCAGCTCTGTGTTTGTCTGTGCTGGCTCTGCTCTGTTATTTACAACGCTCTCTTTTTAAAGGACGATCTCAGTCAACCGGGCAGGTATAATTCCTGTTCCGGGGAATGTGTGATTTTTTTAAACTTCATCGCGGGCACAGTCGATCTTGTATTGTCGTTTATAGCTCCCATCTCTGCCATCATTTTCCTGTACATGAGAGTGTTTGTTGTGGCGGTGTCTCAGGCTCGAGCCATGCGCTCTCATGTTACAGCCGTCTCCCTCCAGCTCTCACTCGCTCTCCCTGTGAACAAATCGGAGCTGAAAGCAGCCCGGACTCTCGGTGTTCTTGTCGTAGTGTTTCTGATTTGTTTCTGTCCATACTACAGCTTGTCTCTTGCAGGGGACAGTGTGCTCAGTGATGCATTTTCATCATTTGTGGTGTTTCTGTTCTACTTTAACTCTTGCGTGAACCCTTTGATATATGCCATGTTTTACCCCTGGTTTAGAAAAGCAGTGAAACTCATTGTGACTCTGCAGATCCTGCAGCCTGGCTCCCGTGAGGCCAAAATGCTGTAGAGAGGCTGAGGGGTCGCTTAAGGATGAGATGTGATAATAGAGGTTGTTTCTGAATTTTAAATCCAAAAACTGGATGTGAAATTCTACTTTTGTTTTTCCGTCTGAAGTACAAAATGAGAAATCTGTACGTCTATTTCTGCTGCTGAGGATAGCCGTCAATGTTGTGCTTTGCCTCTTGTCACTTCCTGTCAGCACCTGTGTGTCCAATCAGACTCAAAGCTGATCGTTTTCACTTACTGACATCGTTTCCTCCTCTCTAGATCCTTGCTTGTGTTGTGCTTACTCTCTGATGTACGTCGCTTTGGATAAAAGCGCCTGCTAAGTGAATAGAGTTGTAGATTTGACTGAAGTGTTTGGTTGTCAGGATACTCAAAATGTTTAAACTTTGATTCCATACTTGTACAAACCAAACAATATTGATACCCAGGCTCCAAAAGGAGAAGTCCAAGGTGCACGTTTCTTCTTTTCAATTCTCAAAAGTTGCAAGCAAACCAAAAAGTTGTCAATGTATTTGTGTAATTTTGTCAGTGTGCAGGAGTTTGTCTGCACATTTTGGAAGAAATTCATCCCTCTCCTGTGTCCCAGTTTGATAAAATAGATGTTGTTTTTATAAGCTTTGGTGCTTTTTCATCATATCGATCATCAAGATTGTATCATTTATAACATTTGGTGTATCTAAAAAGTTCATTTTGATGATGTGCTTGATGAAATGATTCTCATTGTCATCACTTTATCGCGGCATGAGGGGGGTAACTTGTCTATTTTCTTCTTCCCTGAATAAGTCAAAGCCAAACAATTGTCTGGGGAAATCCTTGTCGACTTTACAACACATTAAACCCTCATTTTACATTTTTTTTTAAGCATTTCCTGATGAAATTAAACTTTTTCATACTCAGACAATAACTCAAACTGTCCTGTTTTGAATTGAAAAGATACTCAGAGGAAAGAACTGTTACATGTCGTCTTTCAATCAGACAAAGATTCTTGTTGATTAAATCACAATGAATGTTTTGATGCTGCAGAGAGAAACTATCTCCTAATGATTGTCTTTCTATCTCGTTTTTAATCATGACGTACTTTCTGAGATATACTCTGAGGAAGAAACTCTTAAATATGAACTGTTTATTTCCTGTTCTTGATCTGTGTTTGGAGGATTTACTCAGAACAGAACTCTTGAATATCGTCTTTTTAAAATCAGACTATGGTTGTGTGATGATGGACTCAGACCTACAATAAGACAAAGTCCGCTTACTTTCACCTGAAGCATAAATCAAGAATTAGAGGACTTTTGTCCCAGCAGGATGTTGAAAAACGTGTCCATGCTTTTATCTTTAGTCGTCTTGATTACTGTAACAGAGTCTTCACAGGTCTGTCTAAAACATCAGTCAGAAACCTGCAGCTGATCCAGAACGCTGCTGTGTCCTCACCAAGACCAAGAAAGGGGATCACATCAGTCCAGTTGTGAGGTCTTTACACAAACTGTTTAAAGATTTATGTTGCTGCTCTGAGCCTAAAAATACTAACTTGTGTTTCTAAAGATGAAGACAGTTGCTTTATCTTTTCGGTTATTTGTGATTATAAATTAAGTATTTCATTGTTTTTTAAGCGTTAGGCAGCTTCAAGTGAACAAGATGAATAAACTAAAATTGCTTCCCTCAATAACTACTTTGTCCGCTAATACTGTCCAACTCAGACTCACTGATGTGTTTTCAAAGTGTCCACTGATGGACGAGAAACAGTTCAGAGTAAAACAAATCCTGCCATCTGCTGGTACGACACCATCAACACATCGGCCCTCGCTAGTTACAAGCAAATAAAAAATGCTGGAGACACTAACCTCTGCAGGTTTCAGAATGTGGTGCCCAACACACCACATTGGTTTGGCTGAAATGTCAAACTGTCTAAGTCTCACAAATACATTGACAAACTTTCAGTAAACATGATTGTCCAAGATTTTAGTACTTTTTGATACCATCAGCATGTCTCGATAACAGAGTGTGAAAATGTAATTTCCCCTCAAGAGATTAATAAAGTATATCTTCTTCTTCTTCTTTGACAAATACTACAAAGATCTACACTGCGATTTCTTAAAAGACTTCCATCAACAGACGGAGAGAATCAAACACAGGTGGAGACAGTTGTCATTTTACTTCCTTTTGAATAATCAATAAATATTTGGTTGAATTAATTCTCCATTTGCACTTTCAACTTAATAATAATTACAACAGAGTAAACAGTGAGGGATCTGATGTGCTGCATCCACCCAACTAATCAGATGATTTCTGATTTGTTTGTAAAAGTAAAGAGACCCTCTGACACGTGTCACTGTTTCAACCGCCTCACAAACAGAATATTCACCTTCTTTTAACTGAGACATTGGGAGGATTATTCGGAGATTAACTGAACTCCCTGCATGCTCTGTTATTTATGAAACACTCTGCAGACCTGCCACTAGATGGCGCTGCTGGCTTTGTTTTCCCATCACAGACATTTACAAGCAGCTGAGATAAAACAAAAAAAGTATGAAAATGAGATCTAATTAATCTTTATCTCACATACCAATAAGACATTATCATATACTGTTCAAAAGTTCAATTTGACATGAACTTATTTTCACTTTTTTCAAACTAAAGCAGGGAAAAGGTCTTGTTTTTGTTGGCGTTGTGACAAATATCAGCTGCTGTAGTTCCCACTCCACCACTAGAGGTCTCTGTTTGCCTCTCTGTACAGTGCTGCACGTGCACACCTATCTGAATGTGCTGTATTCTCTTGTTTTGTTTAGTTTGCTCATGCCTGTTTTCTCTGTAAGTGCTGGGACAGAGTGTCTCCCTCCTGAGTGTGTCATCTGGATTTTGAGTGCACACACACACACACACTGATCTCCCTCGGCTGTATATTTACCTCAGGTTTGAACACGTTTGAAGACAGCAGCAGCAGCAGCTCTCTGTCAGTGTAATTACAGTGTGTAGAAATATGTCTTTAAAGAGAAATAAACACGGACATAATGTTCAACAAGAGGAGGAGGTTTGTTGGACATTTGACACAGACATTCAACATGACTAAATCTGACACTAAAAGACACAATATGTTGATTTCTTTTTCCACTTAAGTATCTAAATTAATGAAAAATGTACTATACCTATGTTATATATATATATATATATATATATATATATATATATATATATATATATATATATATATATAAAATATTTCCAACAGTTATCAAAGCCGGAGAAATCCTAAATGTTATAGCTGTAATGGGATGTATCTTGGTTTTGTTTTTAGTTTTAGTTTTTAGTTCTCTCTCCTCTTTGTGCACACATCAAACTTCAGGCCAGCCCTGCAAAAGTCACTGCCCAGTTTGGCCACCCAAAAACATCCTGGACATGCCCCTGCTGAGAAGTCCAGATAAACATTTATTTAACGATAAACGATATTTAAATGATAAACAGGCGACTGTGGCTCATATTATGTGTAATGAGATTTTTCTTCAAGTGAAATTAGACAAAGGACACTAAAGGTAAGATTTGAGTTTTTGTAGAGTAACATGAGAGATTCACTGACAAACAGAGAGCTGACATGCTGCTGCAGTCATTCAGTATTTAGTAGTTTGAATTAAACCTAAAAACACATCAAGCCAACAATGTTCCACCACACCTACAGCAGCGTCTGAACACACCTCTGTGGTGTGTGTGTGTGTGTGTGTGTGTGTGTGTGTGTGTGTGTGTGTGTGTTGAAGTCGACATGTCTGGATCTGCTGCTGCACATTCCTCCATCTGCCTGCGTGTCGCCTGCTGACAAAAGGAACAACCCCGCTGTTTTAGTGCAGAGCTGCTGCTCAACAGATCAGAGATCACTTTACTCACAGGAGGTTAAATAAAGACACACAACACTGACATGTTACTGCTGAACAGATAAGTCCGAAATGTTTTAAAAATGTCCGAAAAAAACAACAACCTTCAGTCTCCTCAGGCTGGATCAAAAGCAGGCTGGAGATAGAGAGAGATGCTGTGTTAATGCTTTACAGGAAATGACTGTACAACAGTTAGAGCAGCTTCACAGCCAGGACATGAAGAGACTGGACATAAAAAACATAAAGAAGAACATCAAAATACTTCAACCTTACTCAGGACTCAGGAGAACTTATTGAATATAATCCTAGAACACAAACACATGACGTACACATCAGCAGTGGCAGAGTCTGTTTGGTTTCATTGGGGGCCCCTTTAACCAAATTGTCTGCCGGTGTTCCCATGCTTAGTCCTCTTCCTCTTTTCTCCTTGTTTTTCACTCCCAGACATATAATTCTTCTTCATTTTCCTTTGGTTGACAAACTTTGGTTTTTACAGCACTAATGCATGCAGCACTTGGCAGGGAGATGAGTGTGAGTTTTCCTACTGTTGTTGCAAAATTTGCAACAACAGTAGGTGGTTTAATGCTTATAATGCCTCGAGGGACCCCTCCTGCATGGGGCCCAAAGCAGTTGCCTGCCTTGCCTGCTGACAAAAAGTGTCAACATCAGAAACATGAAGAATGCATTGTTAATAAAAAATAAAAAAAACACATTTCAAAGTTGAGTCTTTATCAAAAAAGTCAGAAGAGACAATCAAAAGACTGAAGGTAAGTTTTCTTTATCAGAAGTGTAAGGTTAGGCTGTGCAGACTTTTCCTCCAGAGCATCATATTAAAAATTGGTAAAAAATTCCCTAATCACAAACTTTGACTGAAGGGAACTTTCCGTCTGCGGTCGGTGAAGAAACCCAAGCAGGTCACTGTGAGACAAACAGACGCCATGCTGCACAGACTCATGGGTAATCTATGTCATCACCACGTGCTGCCATCTGGTGCAGCGCTGCTCCTCTTCCACGTTTACAAAGAAACCAAAGATTACACAGGTGTGTGTCACACATTCCTCCAGGTGAGTGGAGCTCTGACTCTGTGCACCCGCTCACATCTGGACGATCAGGCAGATTAACCTTTGATATAAAATATACAAGA